TCAGTCAATAAATCTTATCGAACGAGAACGTGAATTATCGGTTCCTCATTCCGGAGTCAATTTAAAATTTCGAGTAATTTCTCTGTCAAGTGTGAAGCTTTGCGAACGGACATATGAGAGAGAAGTAAGTTACGGTGACCGCGAAATTTATGTGAAACACGACTGTCGGTGCTTATGCGCTCTCGCGTAATAACGCTTGTATGCATTTCGGATGTGTCTCGCTACGAAAGCCTCGATATAAATCGCGAGCGTTTAAGTATGTGCGTAGTTTATGTTGCCTCGCGGCCGGAATATATTATTTACCGTTAATATTTAAGGGCACGCATATCTTATGCATTGACGCAACGTGTGTACGACGTCACCGTAGGGAAGGGAATTTATCACGGTAGCTGAGATCAAGAATTCTTCACGAAGACAGAACATTTTGTTGTTGCAATAAAACTATGACTATGATTACATATGTCGTATAAAAGTAACTCAATTTTAATACTATAATTATATCTTCAATAGTGTTTAAATTCTAATTTTATTTCTTTGCAAAACCTCTTTTTCACTATTTTCTTAAAAAAACAGATAATTCTTCGTTAATGTAAAAAGACATTTTAAATCAATTTCCCGGAAATTATAAATATAAAATAATTATATTGACATGTTTTGATTATTATAATAATCGTAAACAAATTTAACAAGTTTTTACTATAAAAATGTATAAATATTTCAGAGCAATCAATTAAATTAATAAATTCACATGTAAAATGAAGATTTGCTCATTTAACGATAAAATCATAGATCCAACGTATTAGGATTTTCGAAGAAATGCTTTATGATATACAACGCGTCACACACGTGTGTCAGTCACTACGGCACGTCGGTTCTACGAAATGAAAGAACCCGAGGTAGGTAGGTATTATTTGCTTGCCACAACGGCCTCCAGTTCAGCCTCGAAAGGTATTTTGCACCGGCTATATTTACGCAGAGCAAACACATACAACCGCGTCTAAGAGCTGGACCTAAATGCGTGAAACACACAAAAGCGGTCCGTGCCCGGTACGTAACATAAAGGGTAATAACTTACGATAATCGTGAATGTTAGGTCACGTAGCCCAAAACAGTTCACGCTGCAATGCACAAGACCGGAAGATCTTTTCTCTCTCGCCCCGTCGCACTGAAAACGAACCGAATCAAATACACCGCCGTTTCTGCGAATTTAATTCCCCTTCCATGCCATATCTGTATACACACGATTTGTATACAATTGAAATCTTCCGCATTTTCTTCAAGTTTTTTCACAGTCAAGAGCTTTAAAATATGTTTTCAGTTGTGTAATAAGAGTTTCTGATTTTTTAAATAAATTTGTCTATTTCTTTGTCGAGCAAAACGCAGTTCAAAACATGAATTAAATATTTGTTTGTCAAAGTTGTAATCAAATTCCGCCCTTATCACAATTTTATCATGTTGCTTAAAAATAATAACATCTATTCACTGAAAAATACGAAATTATTGCACTTATTATATAAGCAACCCAATATATCTGTAGATTCTTTTAACTTTAAAGTCTAATTTAGAATCTTATTACCTATGTCACATACAATTTGTTACAAAAATGTTCGGATGTTATAATAATTTCAAATGTTAGATTGATTAAAGAATCAATAAGATAGATTGGCAAGATGAAGGAATTGTTTTGTGCAAAGCGAACAAGAATGCATTTTGCATCACTTTCTTATAAAATATTAAATTTATGTTTCTTACAATCTTTATGAAAATTCAATCACTTTGCCAAAAAAAAAAAAAAAATAAATGTGTCGAATTTAGAAATTGTATTGGTACCTATTATTCGATTAGAAAACAAATAATATCCTCAGAGATACAATGTACATAATACAATGTGTATATTATGTGACGGCAGAGAAGGAGAAACATTCTTTTGAGTCAACGTGTTGATTTATTCAGCTTTGTTAGATATTTGAATGAGATTGATCGAGTGTGTATGTATATATGTGTATGCGCGCCAAGAGCTATTTTTCTTCTTGCTGTTTCTAGAAATATTACTCATATCTTACATAGTCTGGTGTAAAATAGAAAATATAGTTTATCAAACATTATGTACACATTTTAAAGATGTAAACAATGATTATATTATAATTCAAAAGTATTTTTGTTGTTAAACTTGTGTGCAGATTAAAATCTGATGTCAATTAAGATTTAATAAAAGTGTATGAAAATTTATTATTCGCAATTTCAACAAACGACAAATCTGTGTGTCTCGATTTGTGTCTCATTCGCCACAAAGCTACGCGAGTTTTTGTCAACAAAAAAATAGCTTAATAATTTTGTCATATTCACCTGATTTGAACTCCCTGCGACTACTTTCTATTTCAAAAACACAAAATTCCAATGAAAGTCACTCGCTACGATGACATTCCAACCCATCCAAACAGTCGTGACAAGGATCCTTGAGGAGGTCTCAAAAGTCTATCCACGCATCGATGTCGAAGGGATTCTTTGAATAAAATAAACAATTTTACACTACGATGTGCTTGGTGTAGTATCAATTCCGTTATGTTATGTTTTAGACGTATCTACTGTGTATGAAGAAAAGAGACGCACGCGCGAAGAATTGCTCGCTAAATAAGATTGAATTTTAAGTTCTCATTGGTTTTCCTATGCGCGGTACAGCAGAGAAGCTTTACAACGTATGATGACTAGCGACATTGCGGTCTACCGTTTCTCGCGTATTAACATTCAGTACGGCATAGCGTTGTAGTAGTGTCAGCACTGGAAAACCGTTCCGCGCCTACAATCAGGCATTTCTGTACTGTTACGATTGCACCCGCGCACGCGACTCTATGTGCAATAACATAGTTAATGAAAATTCTCATGGCGTACATCTCACGTCTAATGCAACGTTCTTAACAATTACTATCTTTTTACCGCTCAATATTATATAATAAACGTGATTATTATTATTGTAAAATAAAATGTACTCTCTCTCTCTAATACCATTCTAAAAAGTATTAAAAATGAAGTTTCAAGTGTGACAATAACCGATAGCTTCGAACATAAAATTAATGTAGCTACGTATTTGGAATTAATTACAATATATAATCTCAAAAAAAAAAAAATCTGAAATTTACATAGATCAAAAAAGCTACTTCGGATAGTCAATTACGTATGCGTGAAACATCACGTATACATTTTTTACATTGCATTCCTCACAAACATCAACTCAATAGCGTAATCGAGCGAATGCGCGGGTGCCGCGAACAGCTAGTAGCGAACGCATGGAGTCGCGAGCCGCGCAAGCATACGCATGCGCCTTCTCTGTGGAATGCACGCTCTCGCGTATTCCCTCCAACCCCACCGATCATCCAGGCTGTTCTACCTCTCGCTCTTCTACGCCTCGCAGGACCCTTACAATCTCCCACAATCTCTCCTTCATCGCTCTGCTATGCCGCCGCGCCGTGCCGCGCTGCCTCGGCACGCTGCCTTGTCCCGCCACATCGCGCGACTCGTTCCATTCGGCGATGTGGCGTCATACAGTGGCATTTATTCTGTGTGTGTGTATGTGTCTGTTGTGTTACGTACTTCAGCACTAATCCCGATATTGAAGTTATTTTTCGCGATACGATATAATGGATAGTTAGTTTGCTTAACTTATCCAAAATATTTTTTGTACATACAAATCTCCTTTTAATAACTTTCAATAAAGATTGCGTTAGAATATTTTATTTACGATTATTTATATAATTATTATTTACATTTGTTCGTAGGGATATATATTAAAATTGTTTTTTTTTTTCATCACTAAATTCTGCAACTAAAATAATGTTCAATAAAATTTTGAAACATTTATGAAATTGAGAAAATCTTTTTATTTTTGGTACCTATGATTATATCTGTGAATGTGATTATATCTTTGTTGAATAAAAGGTTGAGTCATTGTAAATTTGTGAATCATTTTGTAACAGATATTTCATTAAAAAAAGATAAAATACCAATGATAACTCCCCAAACCCGTTTAAAATTTGTGATAGAATATCTAAAAAGCGGAATAGCTTTGTGATATTTTGTTGTGTACGTAATATAATTTCGTCCTTAGAAAGATTCTATATTTAAACCGTATTTATGCAATTTCTAACTTTTTTTGAAATTTGCAAATCGTATTATATCTCGATATGTATCGATGTCTCGAAATGCATTAGTACATGAAGTTGCACCAATTTTGAACAATTTGAATTTGTCAAGTTGTCCGACATTGATGTCACTTTACATAGAATTCATAAGTGCCGTTTCCTCATTGGTGCATGATTGCACCAATTTTTTAATAATTTGGAGTATGCGTATCGCATCTAGATATTCGTCTATCATGACTGTTGGTCAAACATCTAAAACTAAATTTTTCATTTATTTATCGCATGATTATTATTATTATTTACTTTCCATTCTTATGTTAAATATCTAAAAATAAAAAATTATTGCTCACAAGTTTAAATATTTAAACGTAATCGCACACGCTCAGATTGTTCAAAATTGTTGCATTTCGTGCATTGAGACATTTGTTTGTTTTCATACTCATATATTATGAAATGCAAAAAATTCTGAAAACAAAACTTATGTTTTCGTTCTTTTAATCGATGTCGATTATCGGAACAGTTTTCAATGACGCTGCCAATATTGCAATTAACGCGATATTTTCGCGCATATAACTTCATCAATTATTAAAAAAAACGCGGCAAGATTATGTATCGCTGCACCGCATCGCGTTGCGACGCACGAATGCGAGCGGGGAATGCGTTGCGCGCGAAAGCACAAACATCGACAGACATGTTTCGTTCATTAATAGCGAGCGTGAGACGAGCTCGCTCGCACGCGAATTAGTGTCAATGTTATGCCACGGTGATTACACGAATCGAGGCGGCGGCGCCGCGCCGTTCACTCGAACGAAAAGCAAGGAACGCGAACGCGCGTGGGGTCGTTCGCTCGCCCGTTCGACTTACCTTTCCTCTCGCGGCGTCCTAGTAGCGTCTCCACGGTTGATGATTTATCTTCACGCGAAGGGCATTCCGGCGGCGCGCGTAATCCGGTTAATCCAACGTGACACAAGGGGGACGTGCACAGGTTAGCCGCGCAACAGGTGGTCGTTGAAAATAAACACTCGCGGTACCGAGATACATTCGTGTATAACGCACAGCACAGCACAAAAATCTTGGCACGCTCGCTTCGGTATCGCCTCGACGTTTGAACTCTCGCCAATCGCTTGCGTTCGCGCGAGTTCTCACATTGCAAAAAGCCGCCGCACCGAGATTCGGAACGCGAGATGCTGTCGTGAGAGAGACGACAAGCGGTGGCGACTCCTCCGCGGATTCTTTTACAGATCGATTATGGCGTCGAGCAATACTCTCGGTAGCGTCGCGAACGGCATTCTCCACTGCGGACACGGGAAAGGAACGTTACTCCGGCGGCGAGAGTTCGGGCAAAACGTGAAAGCGTGAACGTCGCAATGAGAAATACAATCACAACATTCCACACCGGCGGCCGGCGAATGACTGATCCGCACAATCCGCCGACTCGCGCGCTCCACCATCGACTTCAGCACTACCTTCGTCTCCGGATAATCACCTTGACTGCAAGTATATCAGAGTCATCTCGAGACATCTCTCAAGGACTTATAATTGAATCATATATATATTGACCTATCGATTAAGAAAACATGGAAAAAATGCATTTTGCATTATATAAATGCATTCTTCTTTCGACTTGTCATTTAAATCTGCATCGATTTGTCATTAAATCCATCTATATATACAAGTGCATTAAAATAATCTTAACAAATAGATTTCATATTTAATTTTTTTTTAACAGAATCTTGGAACTTCGATAAATTCGTATTATAAACAATTAAGAATTGAAATTTGTCTGCGAATTAAGCTGCGTATATTTGCATAGATAACAAAAAAAAACATTTTTATTAGTCTAATTGATTAATTTTAAATCTTCAGTGTCTAATTGTGTGGGTTTGAGTAATTGTTGGCTATGTTTAAAAAACACAATGTTTGAAAAATTGTCTTTTGGAAAACAGGTAGATCTAGAAGTATATACTAACACAATAAGCTTTTAATCTAATATTCAACGATTACACAACCATTGTATTTTTTTAACGTAATCGTTAAATGCATAATTGGTCGATTTAACCTGCGCATATACATTCTGCAATTATGCAATTTTACTTGAATAAACTTTTCATATGTCGTGTTACAAAGTTGTGATAACCAATAAAGCATCCGTTTCTCTAAAAATAATAGTACGTAATAAGACATGAATTACTTACCTTTTTAATGAGAAGAATATAGGAAAACAGCATTGGGAACGAAATCGCTATTTGGCTGATACATAAACTAAAGTTAAGATAATAACTAATGACTAATCTAAGCAAAGAAAGTAAATACGTCACATTAATCAACTGAAATAAATAATAATCACAAAGCGATCTTATAAAGAGACTCAAATATAGTATTGAATTATCATTCAAGCTTCTTGCGACATCTTGCGGCTTTTTGCGGTATTTTGCTGTTGAAGCAAATGAAGTAGACTTACAAATCGACTATCTCTCTCACAAACTGCCAATTTCCGGTTTCACTCTTCGCTGCTCTAATGTTACTAATCTATTTACATGTATTGTTATTGGTGGATATCGTAGCGGCATCTCGCTGCGAATCGCGATTTTAAATGGACAAAGAAACGCGAAAAAGCCGAAGCCAGCGGAGCGACCGATATAGCCAGACGCGTAACGAGCGGATGTAGTAGGCGCGACGATCGCTTACCTATCCGCAAAGAAGAGCCACGGCGTGACGTAAACGACCATCCAAACAAGTATCAGCTGTGTTGCAGTCATTGTTCCACGGGTTCGCATTGGTTTTTTGGGAAACAAGTTCACCGAGTTCTTTTCGTCAAATCGCACGGCAGTGAAGACAACGGGGACGACGACGTGTGACTGGTCTCACACAAAGCGCACGCAAGGGACACGCAAGGGAGGCGTGAGCGTTTTTAAGAAGCGCAAGTGGCGAGGAGAAAAAAAAAGGGGGGAAGGCTAAGGGCAAGAATTTTGTCGTTACTCGACGCGATCGTGGCTGTGTGCGCGCTCCGACCTCGGACCTAGCCCCAGCCACCCAGCTAACCGTGAACGGTTACTCCGAGGGGAACAATAATCGTGTGAAAAACGGGGCGGTACGCGCATAAGCCTGGCCTCGAGCAGCGAGTCGGACGACGGTGGACTCGCTCCGCCACCGCGCAAAAGGTCTCGTAGTTCCCTGCCGACTACCCTACGACCAGCGGACGAGCACCACTCTTCTAGTCCGGACATGGATAACTATCGGTAACGTACAATCCTCCCGAGCGCTCGCGAAATGCGCGTCCGAGCGCGAGTGCGTTGACAGATTTTCAACCCCCTCCCCGCGTCACATGTTCGTGATTTCAGAATCTCGAGACTTTTTTCTATGTTCGTTTCCTTCCCGTGTAGTTTTTTTTTTTAATACGTTTGCGTGCTTTGTGCGCATTTTCTCACGCCACTCTTATAACTGTTCTTTCTCTTTCTTCTTCTGTCTGACATACATCCCACACAATAGTTTTAATATTTCAACAAATTGCAAGAGAAAGTTGTGCATCTGTACATCTATTGAAGTGGAATGTATCAATTGATACAGCTTTGTGTTAATATTGTCATAACATCAATCTGCCATCTTGGTTGATATTCCAGTGTACACGACAGCGTAATGCAGCAGCAGGCCTCGAATGGTGGTGTGTCCTCTGGACTGCAGCAAAATGGAGCCAAGGCGGACTCTGGTGGGCCTCATGCTAATGGCAACTTGTTACCTGAAACAGATAGTGATGTCAATGGTGTGAATGGAGAAATCAATCAAAGTTTGGGACCTCCAAAAATAATGGACAAAACTAACCAGGACATTGTGAGACTTATCGGACAACATTTAAAGACTGTTGGTTTAGAGTATGTAACATTACTGTTTCTCAACTTTTTGATTCACTAGTGAAATGGTTTTTATTAGCTTAATAATGAGAAAGTTAATAATTTACTACAATTGCAAATGCAAATCTACTCATCTTTTCTAGCACACTAAGGTTAGAGTAAACACATAAAACATTAGTTACATTGCAATAGCCTTTCTGTTTTATTCTTAGATTTCATAATTAGTTAATGTCTTTTTATCTTGATTCATATTTACCAAAACAACTATATTAACTTGTGAGCAGTATTCACATGTGGTGGGAGAGAGCTAATAATAGAACTTCGAAATATAGGCACTACAGTATCTGCTAATTATATATTCTTTATAGCAGTATGCAATGTGAAAGGAATAAATAGCATTGAAAATATTTTGAATCATTAAAATGTGCTGGAACTAGTTTATCAATTTTTAATAAGAAATAACAAGTATCCCTTCAGTATCATATGTGCCATCAGATCAAATTGACACAAATGAAATATTCTAAACTTAGAATTTACACTGCTCTTCTATTGAGAAATTTATTGATATAGATTTTTAACATTTTGTATGAATCCCTTCAAAATTGAATATTAAGTATAATTTGTAATTAATAATAAGTAAAAGAAGAAATATTATTTTTAGTCGCACAGCGGACCTGCTTATGCAAGAATCAGGCTGTCGATTGGAGCATCCTGCTGCAGCAAAATTTAGGCAGCATGTTATGGATGGTGATTGGAACAAAGCAGATCATGACCTCAATGAACTCAAGTCTTTTCTAAATAGCGCAAACCAGAGCTTAGTGGTAAATTTCTTTTATCATACAATTTAATAATTAATGTACACACAGATGTTTCTAAAAATGATAACAATAATATTAGATTAGACAATATAATATCATATAAGATCAATACTTGGTCTATTTTAATTGTATGATTCTACTAATCGTACTGACAACAAAATATACACACTTATTTGCACATTCTTTGCAAGTGTAGACATGAAAGTTAGTGTGAGTATTTCAATATTGAGTATTTCAAACAAACGGAAGTAAGCGGTCTTGATGTAAACATCGTTTGACATTGGTTGAATGCAATAGCTGAATGTATACAATTCGGTAACAATGGCTATTGTCACTGCGAAACTATAACTTTTGAGAAACTTATCTGTATAATAATATTTTCTCGAAAATAAAATTACAAGTTCACAATTACAAAGTTCAAAATAAAATATGTGCCATTTGACTAGTTTCCAATAAATGATTATTATGAGACACTTTTATTCCAAAATGCAGTTACAATTATTTTTTATTGATGCTATTGAATTATAGCTGAATACAAGCTAATAATAGAAAATACATTACTTGTCAGCACAGTTAGTAAATTTATTACAATTTTGTATACCTTTTTAATCGGTATTTTTTTTTTTTTTTTTGTTCACAGGAGATGAAATTTTTACTATTAGAGCAAAAATACTTAGAATATTTAGAAGAGGGCATGGTGTTCGAAGCGTTACATGTACTGCGCAACGAGCTTACACCCCTGGGCCATAATACCGGTCGTGTTCATCAGTTATCTTTATTTATGATGTGTAGTGGACGAGATGAACTACAGGTATTTCCTATATTTGCCTTAAATAATGAAGATACATGGTTAAAACATAGAGTGATTTTTATGCTAACTGTGTGCATTTTCTATTAATAAGTTCCTACAAGAATTGAAGCTTTCTCATGTTTGAAATATCTTAGAAACTAACTTATAATCGAAAATTTAATCACTAGCAAATGGACACTTGTTGACAGACACGTGCAGGCTGGGATGGCAAAGGGCCAGCCTCCAGGGCTGCACTTATGGACAGACTGCAAAGGTACCTGCCAGCCTCCATTATGTTACCGCCACGCAGACTTCATTCGTTACTTTGTCAGGCTGTGGAAATGCAAAATCAACAGTGCACGTATCATATAATGCAAACACAGGTATATTAATGAGTCACATCGCAATTTGAATTATAAGCTATAAAATGTCCGCTTAGTGATGTCATGCTGTTCTTTTTACTTTTTTATTTTAGATATTTTTAATATTTGTTTTTTTTTTCTTTTTTTCCTTCTGATATGATATCGTAACTTTAATGCAATATTTAGGTATTTTGATACACGATATAAAAATACATCTATCAATCTGATATCACTGGCAGTGATAAAATCAGTAAACATTGATAATATTAAAGTGAAAATAATTGACTTGATTATTTTGAAATCACATCTTTGTTAAAAAAATATAATTTATATTTTCAATATCTCCAAATATCGCTATTTAAAAATACAATGAGTTATTTAAAAACAAATGGCTATAGTGTTATAAGTCAAATCACTAATATATGTAGAAAGACATCCTTGAATTTATATCACAAGCATTTCGGTTGATTATTCGATTATCTTCAATAACAAAACTTAGAAAATTGCAATGGTCATAGCATAAAATAGTTGAGTTGAGCATTGAACATTGAACTTCCACATCGTGTGTAATACGAACTCTATAACTCAATTATTTTATGCGCTATGACTTCTGCAATTTTCTAAATCTTGTTATCTAAGATGGTTGACTGAAACATTTGTAAAATAAATTCAAGAATGTATTTATAAATACACTGGTGATTTGGCTCATAATATCTTGTCTAAGCTCTATAAATGTTTGTTTTTCTCATTGTAATTAAAAATTTTGGAGCTTTATTCTATTCCAGAGTGTTATTGATAATCATTAAACTTTCTATAAAAAATAGTTTTAACTTTTTTCCCTCTCAGTCATTTACTAAATTATTATGTACAAAAAAACATTGGGTAGTAATAAAGTGAATACTCTTTATTCTCATATTTTTGATAGAATAGAAGAAATGTTTTCTTCGAATTTTATTAACACGTCGTGCTTTGCTAAACGTATTTTTAAAGCATGGATTCTTTGATTAATTTTAAAACTTACGTTTCTTGGAGAAATTAACTTTGCCATTGCTTATTACACAACTTTAATAAATATTCTCTCTCTTTCGGAGCAGATGAGTTTAGAGAATGTTTCTCTGCTTGTGGATCACAACTGCGGCAAGGAACAGTTTCCGTGCCATACTATACAGGTACTCAACGACCATTGTGACGAAGTTTGGTATTGCAAATTCTCACCTGATGGTCTTAAACTCGCTACAGGTTCTAAAGATATGACTGTAATTATATGGGATGTAGACCCAGTAAGTATACATAATATTGAAGATATAATAATATGTAGGATGTTTTTCATCACTTTCTGAACTGATTGATCAAGTTGCCATTTAAATCCATTTCCTATTTAAATTGAAACTGCCGATCTCTTGTTTTTATAAAAATATTGATAGATCTTGAATAAATAATTTAAAAATAAAGTTTTTATTCAAAAACTAAATTCTAAACAAATGGATGATAAAATTATATGTTTTTAGATAATTTCAACTATTTTAATAAAATTTTAAAATTTAAGATTTAAATTATGAATATATATAAAGTTAAATTAAACAATTAAAAATCTACAATAAATAGAAACCTTCTTTCAATTTATTATTATGAAAAATTGACTCAAAATTAGCCAAAGTATTTACAATTCCAAGTAAATGCACTTTTAATAATAGATTTATATGATTTCCTATTTTCGAAAAGTACATTAAGCATTTGTTCGTCATTTAGGAAACACTAAAAGTAACGCACAGGAAAACGCTTGAAGGGCATACGTATGGCGTAGCGTTAATTGCGTGGAGCCCTGACAGCAATCATTTAATTGCTTGCGGTCCTGAAGATTGTCCAGAAGTTTGGCTTTGGAGCGTTGATACCACCGATTGTGAATTGCGAGTGAAATTGACCCAAAGTACAGATGACTCATTGACGGCCTGTGCTTGGCACCGCGACTCGAATAAATTCGTAACAGGAGGTCTTCGCGGTCAATTTTACCAATGCGTACGTTAACTATTAAAAATAAATAAATGCAATTTATAATATTAACATTTTGGCCATGGCACATCAAGCTGAACAAATACTGAGCATTTTTCACGATTCTTTGTTCTAATAAAATTATCTGAAAACTTACAATTTTATTATACGTTTTTAGGATATGGACGGTAATGTCTCTGATTCGTGGGAAGGAGTAAGAGTAAAATGTCTGTGGTGTCGGAGCGACGGAAAGACCGTCCTAGCAGCTGACACACATCATCGAATTCGCGGATACAATTTTGATGACTTGTGTGACTTCACAATGTACGGATTTATAATAATAATTTGTAGTGTGTCGTCTATATTCAATATCGTGTCATTGAATATAATTTTTAAGAATATTGTTCCACACTGTGTGTGTAGATTACAAGAAGATCATCCCGTCATGTCATTTTGTGTGAACAAAGCGGATCGGCTTGCACTTCTGAACGTAGCAAATCAAGGTGTGCATCTTTGGGATTTACAAGATAGATGTCTTGTGAGACGTTTTCAGGGTGTCACTCAAGGACACTTCACTATTCACAGTTGTTTCGGTGGTGTTAATCATGATTTTGTTGCATCTGGTAGCGAAGGTGAGTCAAACACAGAGACAAAATGCACTTCTGTGCATTAAATTGTCCTTCATTACTTACTTAAAAAATAAAAGACACTATTGCATCGTAATAATCGCTATTTCTCTATCTTATCACAGACAATAAAGTGTACGTATGGCATATTAAAAGAGAGCTACCTATAGCGACTCTAGCAGGGCACAGTAGAACAGTCAATTGTGTTGCATGGAATCCTGTTTATCATCAAATGATGGCTTCTGTATCGGATGATTTCACAGTGAGGATATGGGGCCCAAGGTCATCTTCTCCAGAAGGAGTTGAAAACGATAGGACTGGTAAGTCGTTATAAAAAAAAAAGTTAATACACAATCTCGTCTGCTGTTTTTCTTTTACGCGTTTCTCATTATTTTCAGTATCGTTAGAAACCAACTCTTCAAATAGCGGGGGCTGGCATGAAATGGTATCGTAGCGAACTACAGCGTATCGATGTCCCCATGACCTCATGGTGTTCAAAGACTATCATACTGACATTTGACTGTCACACTTGTCCTGTTGATTGTCATACTGACATTTTACTGCCTTCTGCAGTTGCTCCTCTATACCTCATGTCGCTCTTAGCTACCATCCGTCGCGTATAGAGGTAACAGGAGGGATGTATATGTTAGAAACAACTGCTAAATCGCCTGCAGCTATTAAAACTAAAAACCAATCATCGAGTGTAATATTTTCACACATTTCATGCGTATATTTTCTTTTTCGTATTACATATTTTATATGCATCCATAATGATATCTGTTGTGTTATCTCAATTAAAACGTTGTTAATCGTCAGAGCTAATAATCGAAAATATGACGCAGCATAATATGATAAAGTAGGTCCATATACAGCAGAGTAGAGGACATGAAGAAAATTCCGTCTTAGGATTGGTGTATAAGGATAAAATTATATAAATAAGAATGTGAAATACATCTCTATACATGACAGGATTTGAGAAATTTGGACAAGATCGTGGAAACATTATGTTTTGACAGGAATTTTGTCAAATTTGACTATAATTGTATCAATAAACATTGTAAATAACAGTCTCGGATCTAGAGTTTTATTCTAAGTCGTTCATCGATTAATGAGGCAGACGCTATCTTCATATCTTCAATGTGTGTTTTGTTTTATAATTTTCGTTTTTTAAAAAGCTAATATAATTTTCTAAAATATGTATCGTTATTTCGTAAGAAATGACTTCGTGGATTAGGCAAAAAATTAAGAACTGAATAAAAAAAAGCAATTTCATTGCGTTCATTGCAATATAACTGAATTACAGAGTTTAGATAGCGATATCTGTAAATGTGTGTGTGAATTTGTTTTATTGTTTAGGCATTTATTAAAAAGAAGGTAATGTGTAATAATTTTTAGTTAGAATAATAATAACAATTTGTGCAAAAAAAAGTTATCCAGTTTCATGTATATCATTAGGCTAAATTAACTTTCCAGTAACCAGTGAAGCGTTTAGTATAAATTACAGAGATGTTTTTAAGTGGAAGCTAATTTATTTATGTAATTAAACAATTTCGGATGACAAATACATAGGTAAAACTAAAGAACTAAATGTTGCACTCGTCTTATTAACTGCCATGTATTGAAAATTGTAATGCTAACATTTCTGACACTTGTGTTTAGCAAATATATTACACACATAATGTGATATCTTGATAGCGCGACGATATATTTAATAAAGCTAGTAATTTTTTTTTATTATTGTTGCGTACTTGTTTGCAAAAATAATTTATAAAGATTTTGCAAGGGAAAAAAATATTAAAACAATTTTGATTTGACAGTGGTTGAAATGCTTCACTCAAGTTACGATAGAAATACACTCTGAGTGCAATGGCAATTAACGGGATGAGTATGTTCGAAGAAGAAATTCAATTTATTTTGCAGTTTGCGAGATAAAGAGAAGAATGAGAAATCTGAGGATATCAAGAGATGTTAAGGGTACACCTATATATGTAAACATGTATAAATATCTTTGCAACACGTACTACTATTAAAACACATTTACACGCAAAAGAAACTTCTGTAGTTGATGATCTTAATGTTAATAGGAAGTAACATATAATGTCATTCACTATTATCATTTGCATTTACCTCTGGTGCCTTAGCACTTTATAATTCAATAGAGTCTATAATTTCTTGCGTAACTCGTAATGGTATTTAATTCGTAGCCCGGTAGATTCTGCAGTTCTGCGTACGCGGTGGTGTAGTAAAACAAGCTGTATAGTGACAACTTCTCAGACACGCTATCTTTAAGTATATATCTTTCAGATTTCATTCGCATATATGTACACATATCTCGATTTCAATTTTATTCATTCTTATATACATTAACATAATACAATTAGAATTACAAGTAATTACAAATAATTTTAATTAGATACTATGAGCTATTACTGTAATATTGAATATCGAATTGCCCGTTTGTCATGAATCTTTGTATTTACCGTTGTATGATATCGTGAAAAAGCAATAATAATAACTTCCGAAATTTTTAATTTTCATAGATTAATATATATATAAAAATTGTAATAAAAATGATAGAGCGCGTTGCCACGCGCTTAAATATCGATTTATCCCTTTTATTGGACAAATAAAACCGAGAATTTAATTTTACTTTTAATTTTATTTTTAATTGTAAAGCATTTTTGTATTATAAGCTGCATAATTATATAATGTATATTGCACAGGTTGTTTAATTTCTTTTAAACGCGAATTCTTTGACAAATATGATGTAAAAGTTTAGCGAAACGTAGTCGCTTAAATAATCTTTTAATATTTAGCCACTTATATTTTCACCAATCTAATTGAGAATAGAATTCTGTTTATAATTTTGTGTTATTCGTATAATACAGAAAACATTTTAAAAAATCAAAATATATACATATATGTATAAAATTGATATCAAAATTCATACATATAATAAAATATAAAGTAGATAAAATTATAAGTAAAATTTTTCCCCGCATTCTATTACAAATTATTTCAGATTTTTTTAAATATAAATTAAGATTCCATTAAACTGCTTATTTGAAATTGACCGGAAAAGATCCTGTAAAAGATTTTGTGAATGTGTAAAATCCACTAATAATGTATCTTTTTGTTAAAAAAGAATCAACATAAAATTGAATGAAAGAATCTGCATTTAAAAGAAATATAATTGGAGCATTGTGTATAAATAATATTCAATATAATGGGTGTAGTTTTAATAATAGTTACGTGTGTATCGCGTTATGTTTCAATTGAACAGAACAGAATTTCTAAACTTATTATCTTTCGGACAAATGAATTTTATAATACTCAACATACATTCATTATACTTATCTTCTTATAATAAAAAGTAGATAGTAAAAACTGTATATTTTAAGATGACTAACTATAACATAGATTCCGTTTAAGCAATAAAATGTGTAAAATTGTTCCAAACATGATGGGTTGTACAAATATCTTTTTTTTTAACCCAGTGTACATGGGTTACAATACTTTGAGGTATGCTATTAATAAATGATTGTAATTAAAAATATCCAGAAATAAAGCTGCAATATTTATATATCAATGTCATTAAAATTGCTTCGTAAAAAAGAATTTTATACTTTTTGCAGTTATGTGCCTTTGAACATAATATATAAGTAAATGGGCTTCAGGAATAGCGTTTCTACATGGCATGAATTTGTCGAGTTGATTATTGACCACGTGATCCATGTTATACTCACGCATGCGCGTGAAATTTCTCCCGTTTGGAGAAATTTCTTCCTTCAACACTGGTCACACTTCGACGCGTCAGACGCGATCAGTCGCCATCTAATTATTGTGGTGTACGGTTGTTATCGTTGATATCGTTGTTGCTACTTTGCCGAGAAGTCTGCCATCAAAATGGGTAATGAAGGTGAAATCGTCCACATTCAAAACTCCGTAAGTAGTAATAATAGACACGCGTTCGATTATCGATGAATAATTTGCACAGGATGTATGTACACAGTTAAAACGATTATACCGATACGCGAATATAACCTTGGATGCGAAAAGCCGTGTGCGCATGCGGCTACATTCGTTCCAGCGCAATGTTGCCAGAACATCGGAGCGTAGTGCCAACATGAAGAAATAATAGCACACCAGCTGGCAAAATAATGCGAAAATGTAATCGCATTGTGCAACTAATGATTTTTGTTTTCTAGAAGAGAAAACTATGTTTCCGAATAAAGTTAATTCTAAATTGAATAAAAAGCACACGTGATACGTTGTTTCTGTCTTGTACGCGACAAAAAATGTATCCATATAACTATAATCTGGCAACATTGCCGTTATTATGATGCTCACATGAACCATATTGTCTTTTTGTTTTTATCTTCGTAAAATCTACTTTGCTGCGGTCCTGTTCCAACCTTGAAGATATCAATTCCGCCTTGCATGCCGCTTTTTCATCGCTGCGATATGATTCAAGCGTAAATTCCACGAATCGTTCTACCAGTATATCGAGATAGATCGCAAAGACAAACTATTCGCTGAACATTACGTCAATCGTAAAAAATTTTAATTACGCCATCGTTCCGTCATTCGGAGAAACTTGATCGAATCACCGAGTTGAGAGAACGGCATATAATGTGGTTATGCCGGATGCTTTTTCACCGGCGAGACAATTGAACACAATCGACGATAATATATAAGTACGTTGAATATGTGGCGAACATCGGCAATTGCCTGCCACACGATATTCGTATCGATATAAATATAAGACAAAACCAACACATAATTACGGAATTAAAACCTCGCGGATTAAACAGGATAACGAATATATTTATTAAAAATTAATTAATAATGAATATGCAATAAATTACGTAAAATTGAAATCTGTCCAGTAATTAAAAATCATTTATTTTAACGAAAATATGAAACGTAAATTGAACGTAAATTGAAAAATTTATATATTTTTCGGAAAAATTGTAATTTAGATAAGCGTGAATAATTACATAAATATATTCACAGAAATTATTATTACGATGTAAACATGAATATATATCTACAAAACATCACAGAATAATCGTAAATTGTAAAATCAATAGTCGCAAGCTAAGTCTATATATATTGTATTTATAGCAGTCATGATGTCAGCGCTCATGAGAATTAATTATTCTCAAGCTGGTTGGCCTATAATCGCAAAAATTTATTCCTACTACGAATTTTTAATGTAACGTTAGGTTCTTAAATTATAATATAATAATATTTTGAATTTTTAGATATTTATAGGAAATTATGAAAAATATGTAACGCGATAAAAATATTTAAATTTATTAATATTACATTAAAAATTGCACAAACAATCGATTGATTGATAAAGATTAAAAAAGATATAAAATCTTCGTATTTTTGCGATTCTATTTTCTATGTTTCACTACATACTCCTCTCTTACATTATTTTTATGTTACTTCATTTATTACGTATCACACGGTTGTGTCATGTTCTGGATCGTGGAATGTTATTTTTTGTCACTTATTATTCATTAGTAACATTTTACATATGACTGCGCAGCACGTGATAACTTATTGAAGATATGTGAGTGGAATTTTTTAAATATAAATTTGATTTTTACAAAACTAAATAAATAAGGAAGAAAACGAGAACGAAGCGCGATAAACAAAAAAAAAAAACATGTTAAAAATATATAATCTATTAATTAAATATCAGAACTTCAAATTTTTAGATACTACAATATTTAAGCAAGTCATCATTTCACTGTCATTATTCTTGATACGATTATCTTATCCTATCTATATTCTTGTGATAGTGTCATACTTTTTTTCCTTTCCCTTTCCACTTGTTAACATTGTTATATAATATATATTCTTAAATAACATATATTTTTCTAATATATCTTTATTTATCAATCGAGAAATATATATTTGGCGAGAAGACCTACATAATTATTATTCATCTTTATAGGACGACTTGAAGACTAAGCTTCAAGAAGCAGGGAGTAAATTGGTAGTTATCGACTTCTTTGCCGTATGGTGTGGACCATGTAAGATTATTGGACCAAAGGTTGAAGAACTGTCAAAGGTTTTACCACATCACATTTATTTTTTTATCAAGTCAAATATTCTAATGTATTGGAAATTAATGTGAACATTCTTTCTTTTATGTAGGAATTGCAAGATGTTGTTTTTCTCAAAGTTGATGTTGACGAATGCGAAGATATCGCTACTGAATATGATATATCCAGTATGCCTACATTCGTTTTTATAAGAGAAAGTAAAGTGGTATGTACATTAAACTTGACATTTAGACTTCTCATCGGAATATTAAAAAGAATTGCTAAACAAAATAATAATAAAAAATTGTTTTATTTTTCAGTTGGAGACCTTTTCTGGTGCAAATTACAATAGACTTAAAGAAACAATTGAAAAACATAAGTGAACAACCTGTCATGATTGTTTAAATATATTGTACTTCTAAGAATTATACACTGCATTAGAACTATTTTTTTTTACACGAGCAATGCAAAACAGATATTTGAATAGAAAAAGCAATTTTAACTTGCGCACGTTAAAGAAATAAAAGCAAAGTTGATATTTTAATAGATACATTAATTATGTCCATAGAGTTTTGCGAAAAAATGTAATCAACTTATAAATATATACATATAATATACAAAATACAATTATATGTACAAATAGTATGCTGGAATTTGATTTCTTTTACACATTATTCAATGGCAACGATGGCAATAGAGAGAATGCTCCAGTACCAGATTTGCACGGTTGTCCTAACATCAGCCTACTGGAGGGTGATAATATATCGTCCTTTTTTCCTGTGCAAGATAAAAAATAAATTTAAAAAAATAATAAAACATTAATCTTCTAACATCTAAAAAGTATTAAAAAATCCACTAATTTATTATACAAAGGCTTTTTAAATCTTTATGTGCAAAGTTCACCACTCACCTTGCAATGTCGCATTTTTCAAAAAAGTTAGCGAACTTTCGAAGCTTATTTGCTGTAATGGCGAGGCAGAATTCTCCATTCCTTTTCTACTGAGTGGTTGGAATATACCATCAAACGTCATGTAATCCGCGATTAAGGATAAATGTCTAGAATCGACGGTAATGCCGTACATTTTAAAAACATCTTTAACTTCTCTTATAATGACTCTGTTTGCAGCTTCAATTCCATATGTTTCAGAGATATTATAAATGTCATTGGAATATAATTTGTTTAAATTAAGTATGTTATCATACTTAAACATTTCCTGTAAGATAAAAAGGGAAACATGAAATATGAAAATGGAAAGAGGATTTTCTATTATAGATTACATAGTTCGCATGTATTAGATAGTTTACATTCACTTACCACTATGTTTAAACCATCTGTTTTAAGAATTGTTTCATCTTTGCTGTTTTGGAAAGTGAAGGCTTTCTTGATACGCGGTGTCTCCCATAAAACAGTATCCTTCGCTGCATTTCTGATTATTGTTGGCAAATCTAATTTGATCATTTTAAGTGGTAACTGAAAAGAATTAATAAAACTTATGTATCTTGTTTGTTTATGTAATCTATATTACTATAATTTTCTAATTAATTATATTTTAAAGGAATTTTTTAAATTTATGAGCATGTTACGACACAAATTTTTGCTTTTAATTAAATTAGTAAATATTAAATTTGCAATAAACACCTAAAAATACATAATCAAATACTTTAGAGAATTGCAAATAGAGATTAATATTTTCAACATGATTTCCTATGGCATAAAAAAATTTTTTGTACAAAAGCACATTTCTTTGTAATATAAAAATGATAGCAACAAAGTTTCTTCTTTCAAACACTTACCCAGAATGTAAATTTACACCATGAAAATTTTTTCTCATCGTATTCATAATGCGTGGCATATTCGTACGCATTTAAGACAAACTCCTTTCCACTAGTAAATTTATTTTTTTTGTTATTTAATTTCTTCCTTCTATCATTATCGTCGTCGTCGTCATCGTCTTCATCATTTTCCTTGTTCTTTAAGATTCCATTTGCATTATTATTACTATCCGCTTCTTCTTCTTCTTCTTTAATCATAATCTCAGTCACATCTTCTTCCGGATCTTCGTACTCTTGATTCTCTTGATGACGTGATAGTGATTTCGTCATTGTTGCATCAGCATCTTCCGCAGCGTCTTCCTCATCAGATGATTCATGCATCTCACCTAAATCCATTCGCGATCTTTTTGCGGTACTTTCCACTACTGATTCATCAGGATCGGCTTGATCCAACGCAATGTCGTCATCGTTTGATCGTTTTTTCTCCCCTTCGAAATGCAATAAAAGTTTGCTCGCTTTCGCAAGTTTTCGAATCTGTTTAAATATATTATTGAAAAAGATTTTTTCCGTACATTTGATCACATCCTGCGATCGAACGGAAAACTCTCCTTTATAATATTTATGAGGAAGATATTCGATCGTTAGAGTGTGCACTAATTTCCTGTGTGCACCTTCTTCCATTTTCCTACTTATCGAAATATTTTTCAACACGTCGTGCAAGACACATTTCGTCAATTTTACTTTCAGCTTCTTTGCTTGCTTTTCGAGATTCTCCAGGCCGTTGTGGAAGGGTATTTCCATGCTTGGAGTCTTCATATTCCTCGATGCCAACATCAGGATCTCGCGTAATCTAGGAATACCCAGCGTCACGTTCATCTCACCACGTCCGGCAAAATGGAACGTGTTCAAAGTCATTTGAGTGGACGGTTCACCTATAGATTGCGCTGCTAAAAGACCAACCGGTTCACCAGGTGGACAAATAGTCTTCATGACTTTTATGGATAATAAATCTCTTAAGGTGGATTTTTTTATTCTCGACGAATGGGAAAGGTATTCATCCATTAAGCTTTCTATTCGTTCCGACAGTACGCCGAATTCAATATCTTGTCTGTACTTGGACATTATCGGATCGGGACATCTGGTGCATTGTGCTCGAAACGCCTCTTTCACTTCCTCCTTCTCTTTTATCCACTTTTTCATAAGCGATAGCGCTGCCTTGCTTCTTCCACTGTGGTTATCGATGCTTCTTCTCTTTGCACTAGTGTTCTGACTAGCATTCTCCGCGGAGTATATGCTGAACCCACTGCTCCTCCTTTTTTTCAAGGAGGAATTATTTTTACTTTCCCACTTTTTGATCTTCTTCGTTACTTTTATGATGTCTTTATTATCTGTTTTCAAAAATTCCAACAACTTTTCATCCATAATGGCGTCTTTGTTGTCAACTAAGAACGTCATCTGCTCCTTTTTTAAGAAACGCGAGTTGGGTATGTCGAGGCCGTCCTCTCCGTAATAAAATTGAATCAAGCTGCCGTCAGAATCTCTGACTGTCGAATCGTAATTGATAACTAAACCTTCCAGATGCTTCACGAGACATCTTTGCAAGTAACCAGATCGACTGGTTTTCACCGCAGTATCGATAAGACCTTCACGCCCTGCCATGCAATGGAAAAAGCATTCCTGTGGCTTGATGCCGGTCATAAATCTGCCGTCGATGAAACCGCCTGCTCTGGGTGACGGATCGTACGCTGGGAAGCTTGATAAGCTTTTTCCACTAATCATCAACGGCGGTCTTTTACCTTCCAATTCGCTCTGTCCGAGCAGACACGATATCTGCATAGTGTTAACCGTGGATCCTTTCGCGCCGGATTGCACCATAAGCTGCAAGTTGTTATCTGGAAACTTTTTGAAGAGTCCTGTCAACAGACACGTTTTGTTGATGTCGTTCGTAAAAACGTCCAGCGTGCTCTTGTACTTGTGATCGAGCTGCGCGCGAAATTTTGGGTTGCTCCGTAAAGATTCCTCTATTTTATCCTTAATTTCATTCACGGATGCATCGTCCCCCACCTTTACGATAGTCTTTTGTATATTTTCTCCGATTTTCCTACAATTAGAAATAATCTCTTTGCGCTTCTCGTCGACTTTGCCGGTTATTAGAATATCTTCGACGCCGAGAGTGAATCCGTCAGACTGCAGAAACGCCTGGAACAGTTTGCCGAATGCGCTTAACATATTGGTGGCGTGCGTGCTGCCGTATAACTCGAAAATACAATGAATTAGACCGTAAGGAGTCGCGCCGTAGTGCGTTTTATCCAGCACTCCGCACAGCAGCTCTCCGTGTCGTATTATAACTTCGGCTTCCGACATAGTAACCGGATTTTGGAATTCCGTTCCACACTTCCAACGCCGTGGTGTCTCCACTTGCCACTCCTTCGCGCTGATCTTCGTGCTGGAAATTAAATTAATTCGTGCTACATGCGAGGGAATTATATTGATGATAACCGTTGACAGAACTTGTTTGCCGGACCACAGCTGTTTCGGCTTGATAATGGTCGGTGGTAGTAGAATTATATCCTCTTGCACTATCGGCAGTGCGGCGTAAACCAATCGCGTATAATGCGCTCTTGAAAAGAATTTACCCCTGATCGTTAATCGCACTCCGGACACCATGTAATCCTGTATAAGGCCACTTAAAGGAGTTCCATCCTTCGGAACGAGATACTGATTGGATACATTAGCGATGTTATAACTTTCACTTCTGGCTAATTCGTTTTGTGGCGCGTGCAAATTCATTTCGTCGCCGTCAAAATCGGCATTGTAAGCTTTGCAGTTCGCGTAATGGAGATGCAACGTTTTTTCTCTCTTGAGAACACGTGCTTTATGAGCCATTATACTCGGTTTGTGCAATGTCGGTTGCCTGTTCAACAGCAGTATGTCGCCGTTTTGAAGATGTCGATGTACCACTTTAATGCCGACGAAAGAGTCGCTGGTCCTGTCGCTTGCCGCTAAAAGACGTTTCGCAATAGCTTCTCTCTTCGTAAAATTGTCACTACTAATCGCTTGCACCGTTCCGTCTTCATTTTCCACCAGAACCGCGCCGGGATGAACATTGGGTCCGTTTGTAACTAATCGTCGCAATTCAACGACGTTCCACGGTGTCACAGGTGTAGGATACGTTAATTTGCGAGCGAAAGCTTCGGGGATGCCAATTTCATCGATGTTCAAGTCAGGATCAGGCGTAATAACCGAACGTGCGGCAAAGTTCACTCTTTTGCCCATCATGTGCATTCTGATGATACCTTCTTTCTTCTCGAGAATTTGCTTCAAGCCCTGACAATTCATAGATTCCGAGGTCTTATTCATGTCGCGATCCATCAGATGATCCACATTGGTCTGCAATGCTTGCCAAGCGTTATGCAGCTTTTCCATCGCTGTAAGTCCTTTTATTTGTTCAAAGACAAGTCGACCCTCTTGAGGCAAGTGATCGGTGCCTCCGTCCTGAATCGTTTGTATAACATTTTTCAGGACAAGGCAGTCTTGTATGATGCTCTTGTAGACGTGCGTTTGAGGATGCTCGATCATTTGACCTTTAGCAAAGTTTACTGGTCGCACGATTGGCGGTAGCACGGGTATCACTTCAAAGAAGAATACATCAGTAGGATATTCAATGTCTACTAAATCTAAGCAGGGTACAATTAGCTTAAGGAAATCCTTCTCATTTTTCCACAATTCTCGCAGATATTCCTTGGACTGATCAGGCATAATCATTACTGTCTCCAATTTATGCGCCACTTCACGAGACAGCATTTCTTTCGGAGACTCTTTGTTGTTTATCATTATTTTATTTTGCAGTGTTGAAATTTTCGGTAGAGCCTCATCACAAGCCATACATATTCCCGTTTTGTTGCTTCTGACATATTGTTTAAGTATGCTTTCAACATACATATGCCATTGCACAATGATGCTCTTTATGTTGTTTTGATCCTCACAATCCTGAGGCGTAGTCCTGAATCTGCCCCTGTTAAAGAAGTTTTGCATGTAAGTGTCAATTATTTCACGAACATACTCTGTTTGTCCTTCTGCATCCTGAGCATTTGATACTGCAGATGTCACTTCTTGATTTAAATTATCAAGATCACTGAGTCTTCCTTGATAAAGCAATTTTAATTTTGCGGACAATAACAGCTTGACGTACGATGGTACTTGAAAAGTGAAACATTTTAAGCATGACAATTTGAGTAACGTAGACAGGCCCTTGTGAAATAATGGATTGACAACAGGCACTGGTAGTTCTATGTGTCCAAAATGACCTGGACACTTGTGATCATTATTTCCACATGTGCTGCAAACTTCTAAACTATTTTTCATCGGACCTAGAATGAAATTGAATATATTAAGTAACACGAAATATAGCATGACCTTTTCTATTTTATGAATTTAAGCTATTACTGACAACAATATAGTAAAGAAGTGATGTTAAACATAAACATGCACAATATACTTTTTGTAAATTTTTAAAAATTCTAGTAAATTTAACAAAAAATAAAACTTAGCTAATTTTTCTTTAGCAATAATTTGACAATTTGTTAATTTGAGTTGTAATATTCTAATTTTCAAAGTATAACATATCTTACAACATAATATAATTAAATTAAAGTAAAGTTTTACCTAAGGATGGATCATACAATCCACCTTTCAATGGATGTCCAAGAATGTTAAAAGATAATGGTGTTCTTATCTTTGTTACGCTTAAATTCCTTATATCATTTGCTGTGAAGACTGAGAACAGTAAATGCTGTGACTCCTGATGCTTTGGTGACATCCGCTGTCTATAATATCTACTGAACATCTTGATATCTTTTCAGCTATGTAAAAAGTATAAAATAATGATTTGAAAAGTATTATAATAATGATTTTCTACAAATACAAATGTACAAATTATCTATGTTATAATTACATATTTATGTAAAAAAAATATAAGAACTACAATTTTTATTTTAAAACAGAAATCAAAAGTATTTAACAAGATTCTTTTGTACGGGTGTCTTTACACGTGGGTGTTAGAAAGTTATATTATTCCATATTTTATATACAAATCGATAAATACGCAAAAAGTAGTGTTCTTTTTTATTCTTAAAACTTGGTATTCTTATATTTCACGTTGTGCAATAAATATTGATAATAAAACGCACAATAAACACATCTAACCTAATAACCTAACCTAAAATAATCTAATTTATTTTTAAATTTATAATTCTTAAGTATAAATAAAAAATTATGAATAAAACAATCATTTATTTGAAGTGTTATATCTTATTGTACCAATTGCGCATAGTTAAAACATAAAAAAACATGTGCACAACATTTATCATTCTCCTCATCTATTCCTAACCTTAATACCATTGTTTTTATTTATTAAGAATGATTTTTATTGTTATATTTTTAAATCACATATCAAAATAATATTCTATTACTTGCTATTACTTACCTAAACCTCTCTCTAAAATTTATATATAAATAATTGTACTAAATTTCTCACAATTACACAGTCACACACAGTAGATCGCGCATTCTACCTGAAAAAGATAAAAAAGATGAAGCCACGTGCAAGTTTACGAATAAGAGAGATAGTTAAGAAAAGAGATAGATAAGAATAAAAGATATGATTAGTTTGAAATTTTACATTTTATTCTATTTTGCATTAACAATTTGATAGATCTTTATTGGCCAGTAATCAAGTATACAGCCAAATTTATAAAAAAAACTTAGAAATTATGTTGATATGCCGATTGAAATAAATAAGAAACTTTTCTCTCGACGTTTTTATAAATTGTATAAAGAACATATATAGAGATTCTTTATAGATTAATAATCATAACTTGTGACAGAAAAAATATATCTCACATTAATTGATAGAGCTAAACTAAAAACTTTACAATAGAACTCATTTATTGTATGGATTAAATTAAAATAATTTAGAAGTAAAAATTGTATAATTCAGAAATCATCCTACCACATATTTCCGTCTTTGTGTAAAAAAAATGGTGTCAATGGACTAACGGCTGTTGTGCTTGGCTTACAATATGATACAGTATTTTAGGTGCATTTATCTAGAATAGAGTGAAATACAAACATTACTCCGCCGATAATTTGGAGCTTGCAACCGATAACTGATTGCGAAATACATCCGCAACCGGCGTGGCGCAGCGGTTTGTAATACACGCACGACGAAGCCGGGACGGTCGGGATTTAAAATTTGTGAACAGCTGGAAGTCGCGTTTAGTCTGCATGCAACGGTTGTTCGTGGATCTCGGAGTCAATTTGTGAACTATAAATTGCGAATTCTAATTGAACAGTGCGACGGTGGTGGCGAATTTTAATACTGCTCGATGCCACACTCCGCAGGGAATGTGTCTCGGATAACGTGACCGAATGAAGCATAGCATCTTCCTGAGGATCATCAATCGGGGCAAACAAGTGGTTTCGCGCCGGTACTTGAGCCTGACGACGATGGCGAAAAGCAAATTCGAATACGTAAAGGACTTTGAGCGGGACGACAACTGCTTACCAAACTGCTGGATCGTAATTAGGATAGACGGCAGGAATTTCTCCAAATTCTGCGAGACACATCAGTTCGTCAAACCAAACGATGGGGTTGCCCTGGAGCTGATGAACCGTGCCGCGATCACCGTTATGGAAGATTTTAAAGAGATTATATTGGGTTTTGGTCAGAGCGACGAGTACTCATTCGTCTTCCGAAAAGACACACAGCTCTATAAACGCAGAGGTACGTCTACATCGCAATGTTTATCCGATCCAGAAGGATGGAATTATTCGATCTTTCGTCACGTATTATTGTTTAATCATTGATATTAATTGCATGATTATATATTTCATAATTGTGTTATAGCCAGTTAATTTCGAGGCCTTTGATTCTTTATAGCATTGATCAATTTTAGGTGTTTTAAATAAAAATTTGATTTCTGAGACAACTTCTGACTTCTGAGACTTGATTCTAAGACAACGGTATAGTATCATATTGAAAAGCATTATGTGGCTGTATATCTTAAAAAACGCAAACCATAAATAGCCATAGAAACACTTGATTTATTATGTATGAACCAAATTTTACAACACAATATCATAATATTCATTATATTTATTGTGATTGATTTCTGATAGAGAATACTTTTTTACACTTAATATTATGTTTTTGTTTCAGCGTCCAAACTGTTGTCAAATGTAAATTCATTATTCGCTTCTGCATACGTTTATCATTGGCCACGCCTCTTCAAAGCCAAAGAGTTGTATTATCCACCTTCATTTGACGCTCGTGTTATATTATATCCAACAGATAAAAATTTAAGGGATTACCTAGCTTGGCGCCAAGCTGATGTACATGTTAATAATTTGTACAATACTTGTTTTTGGAATCTTATTTTGAAAGGAAAATTAACTTCAAATCAGGTAAACTTATCATATTTAATATAATACATACGTTATACAAATATTATTTTAAAAACATTTATTTTAACAAACTTAAAATAAATTTGATCAAAAAAGACTATTTATTGTCCAATACGAAATAAACAAGAGAATATTTATATTTCAGGCGGAAGAAAAGCTTAGAGGTACTCTGGCATCGCACAAAAATGAGTTACTTTTCCAAGAATTTGGTATAAATTATAATAACGAACCACTATTGTTTCGGAAGGGTACAACGCTTATTCGAAAATTAGTACCTGACGGTACAGGAAGATTGAAGTCTGCCGTGGTTGCCTTGATAGACGATATTATCGGTGATCGCTTTTGGAAAGAGAATCCCGAAGTAATTGGTTTGAAAAGCTTAGCGACCTATCAACCACCAAACCTGGCGAATAGCGTTAAAAATACAATGTCTGCACCTACACCTCCTTCGCCCACCACGATAAAACACGGGAACAATGTCCCACCATCTTCACAAGTGATTAATATGAATTCGATAAAAGAAGAAGTACATCCCAACAGAAATAGAGAGACGGATGGAGATCGAATGCAATGTGAAAATGAGCGCATTTGTAAGAGATAAATACTTTGTTTGTTTCTCCTTTTTATACAATAGAACTGAATTTTAACTATATTTTTTGTAGTAAGATATATTGTGTTGTGATTTTCCTAAAAGAAAAGGTTTTGCAAACGGATGGAAGACTGCTGCAGAGATGGGTTTCCTTTTCATTCTTGGGAAACAATTATTATATTTCTAAATGTAAGATATATATAAGATATATATTTGAAAAGTAGATATAAATATGAGCTGCCAAACGAATTCATTGCTGAATTCAATCACGAATTTAAACAATGTGACATAACCTCATGGAATGTATCTATAAAAATATGTAAAACTATCTTGTTAGAAGACGATTCAAAGTAGCTTTTAGACCAAAAATAAATTTATTAGTATAATAGTTTTTTTTTTAACTCTAGCCTAGTGATGAAAAGATTATGACAATATGCGTACACATGATGGATAGTGAAATCAAATAATGCATTATGCGACAATTGTTAATCATACAGAATACAATATATTTTTATTACTTTATATTACATTGTGAAATATATCAATAATTACAACATAATAACATATGGATAATATGTGAAACTGATTTACATTGACGATTACAATAAAATACACTATGTACACACACAGATTTTGCTATGCTGCTTAAACTCTTGTAATGTATGATAACAATTCTAAATAATACTTGACACATACGTGTACATGCGCCATGGCTTATCAATATTTGATAGATATACATATATATATTTGCGATTATTAATTGAATTTGCTAAAATAAATTTGGGTGGCAGTATTATTTCTCAAATAACTTCCAAAAGCCCTCTTGATAACAGTTACACTAATCATCGCATAATTTTGCATTATTCGTGACATTAAATTAAAAGAAAAATGGTTATAGAAATTAATCATTATATTACTGTTGCAGAAGTAAATATATAGATGACTGATATATCGTCAATTTAATATCGTTCGATTAATTTAAAATATAGGAATGTAGTTGTCTATTTTAGCGCGATGCTTCTGAGCAACGCATTCCGAAATCCATACAATATTACGGCACTCCTGTTCTTTCAGTTTTAAGTAGCTATAGAATACTCCAAAGTGAAATTGTTGAAGGAAAGCATGGACGTTTAGGCGAACCTGTACATATATCGAAAAGTTAAAGTTAAAGTTAAAGTTGTATTTAATATAGAATATATACAAAAAGATTATCATTGTTTTTAAATATTAAAACAAATGTACTTGCCTCATGCTCAAAAAATTTGTCTTCCAAGGTTTTATCGCCAGGATTATTACCTGCTCCTTCAAATAAGGCGCTGTATTCCGCGTAATATTCCGCTACAGCTTTCACCTGTTCATAATCATCAGCTCTTGCTAAGGATGCCAATCCATCTGGATTCAAACGTCCACAGCGTGGGTACAATTTTGCACGATCATCTTTACCCAATTCAGTTCCAAATGAATTGATGGTTATAATGATTGCTCTTCTATCTGCTTCAAACTGTAATACAAGAATTAGCTATAAGTAAGTAAGCTATGAGAATAATATTATCTCTTTCACGAAATACACCGTTATTTTAAATTAAAATTTTGACAAGTTTCAACAAAATAAAATAACTTACAGCAAGTATTTCACACATAGTATCTGCAGTTGTACCACCAAGATCTTTGCAAAAATTATAAAATGCTTCTAAATAAGCCTTGTAGAGCGTATTCCTTATTATCTCGATATTCATTTCATCTAAATCCTGTTCAGATATGCAATCCACAAAGAATGGTGCTATAACAAAATAATAGTTTAGAAAAGTTAGTATAATAATATTCTTACATAAAGAATGAAAAAATAATACGAATGAGAGATACAATCTAAACAGAATCGTACCTAAAGGTGTATCTACCAGCACAGCATTGTACAATTCAGCAGGTGTAGCAGCAACATGAATTGCTTCCATTTGCTCAAAGCTACCAAGTGGATGGCATTTTGGGATCAATTCTGAAATCGGTCTTTGATGCAAAGTACCAGTGATGAGTAGAATGATATTGTCGATCATATAACTGTATGTAATGAAATCTAGAAACTGAGACAAAGGTTCAACGGAATGATTGCGCATATGTTGAAACTCCACAACCAGTTTCTCCCTTAATTTGTCATCGATCACACTGACAGCGAGTGGAGATGGTTCGTTCGCCAAGAAGCTGCCATAATCCGTACCAGCCAAATGTAGCTTCAAATCTAAATAGATAATTTATTGGTTTAGGCAGGAGAAAAAGATAAATTCATGATTCCTTAATGTACTATAATTAATAGGAATCAACAGATAAATCGATTTTATTTTGCCGTTAAAAATCACATATTTAAAAAATGGAGATTTATATCATAAAGATATAAAATCTTTCTTTGTCAACTGTGCATTTAAGATGATTTAGGACACAAATAAACTCCTGAAATGATTAAATCAATCGAATAAATACCTTCGAGTGTTTCGCATTGAACCAAGTTCAGATAATCACTTTGCTGAAGTATACCGCACTTGAAACCACGACACAGACCTTCCAGGTAGCCACCATCGATATTGAACATGCACCCCTTCATTTGAGAGATCTTTCTCGGATACGTTCGCGTGAAAAACCAATACGTCAAACACGTCTGGCGGCTCGCCCTTTTTCACGAAGATCATATGACAGCATATGACCAGGGAATAGTAACCAGTGTTGACAAGCTAAAAAATTTTTTTTACCAACTGAATGACAAAAATGTACTAAATTACAGTATGTAAGCACTATGTACGTGTGTAGGAGCCCATAGAATGCGATAACGTGGCGTCCTGTGTGCAGATCATAATGGATACATTGTAAATTCTCCTACATATTGTTCTGAAATCTGAGCACTGAGTTTGTGCAGATCTCTTGCTATAGTAATGCATAGTAATTACCACCATCTGTCAATACGAAAAACATAAGCTTCCAATAAATGTTAGTAAATGCGAGCAATAGAGAATATGGATTTGACTTGTCAGAATTCTAGCTTAAATGCTGAATATTTGCTTAGTCAGTTGAATACAGCCAGACGAGAGATTAATAACTTGAGGTATTTTAATATATAAAATTATTATAATTATATGCATTATATTGCACATCGTATATAATTATTGTATCTTATTATTTTTTTACTGCTATTTTATTGCTATACAATTTTTATTTGTATTTATATACATAGGTCATGCTTATATAAAAAAATTTTTTAATAAAACGTTTGATTTAATTTTATAGACAGCAAGTGAAAGGTCTAAGATATATACTTGACAAGGATGTTGATAATATTAAACGTATCTTGGAATTACAAAAGCATGGAGAAATTCATTCACAGTCGAAAATAATATCTTCAGAAGAAGCAAAGCCGGGTACAAGTAAGGATCAAGATATTCTGAAATTAAAACCTATTGGTGTCATTTCTACTTGGTTTCCCAATAAAAGAGCGACTCCACGGCAACCTGGAATATGTAAAAAAGTTCCAGGAAAATTGACGCTTTATAATTCTGTATTCACGAATCCAGATCACGCTTTACAAGGCTTGCAGGACTTTTCTCACATGTGGTAAGCTTTTTGAAACAATAATTTTAATGCTGATGACAAAATGACATATAATGTTTTTTGCTTTTCCCTTTCGATAGGATTTTATTCCACTTTCATAGAAATGATTCAACGCATATGCGAGCAAAAGTAGCACCACCAAGATTAAATGGAATAAGAACAGGTGTATTTTCTACACGTTCTCCACATCGACCTTGCCCTATCGGCCTAAGTTTAGTTAAGATCTTGAAAGTTGAGAATGACACAATTTATTTTGAAGGTGTTGACATGGTTAATCAAACACCTGTCCTGGATATAAAACCATATATACCGCAGTACGATAGCCCATTACATATTGAGAAATTAAGTAACAGGCTAAGAGAAAATGATGCGAATGTTGCGGAGATATTTCATAATCTGGAAGAAACTCAGAATTCAAGCAATGGTCGATCAGTTGACTCTTTTAACGATGATACAAATATTAATAATGAGCGAGTTGAGCTTGATATTTCCAGAGATGAGGAAATAGCTTTGCGACTTCAGGCGGAAGAATTTCAAGCATATCCGACCCTTGATGGCTATGATATCACAAGGCAATCTGCTCAATTGATGGAAGATTATGCTAACACTGCTGCTTCATTGCAAATTGACGAGAATGGTGCAGATATACATAGAGGAACATATTTTGTTCAAGATGGATCATCCGACACGAGATTAGACTTGGATTCATCGGCTGAGTATGGTGCAACATCGATGGCTGAATTGCAGACAGACTCTGTTAGAGATCTGAACAGCAGATTGCACGACGTAGATATAAATAATTCTAATAGTTCGGATTCAGCACGTATGGAGAGAGACAATGATGATGAAATAAATTATACCGAAAATCAAGCCTTACGTAATTCCAGACTGTTAGATGGGGCGGATGGTCCAAGCACAGTTTGCGGTACCGATATTGATTTGGTCAGTCGTCACGCATTACATGCAAGAGTCGATAATTCCCCAGTGAGGATGGGAATACGCGAAGCACCCGATGGAGAGGAAGGATTTGAATCTCAGAGTCTAACACCTTCCCGAACTTTACCGGATATTCATGCGGCAACAACTGTATCATCTGGACCAATAAATACGGCACTGGAGAGTAATTTTTCCGAGATAAGAATACCGGATTGGATTTCGCAACCTCGTACAGCAACGTTATCAGTAATTTTCAATGAACGCGCTTTAATGCAGTTAAATGAAATTCTAGACGACAAGATTGATGAGCAAAAGCAAGCTATAGAAAATGTACTTAAAGAAGATCCTAGATCGGTGTATTTAAGGCAACGATGGGGCAGTCAGTTTTACACGTTTTTGATACACGATTTACATATCACATGTAGATTCGATGATAGTAGAGGTGTAGTTACTGTATTTCAAGTACGACATGCAGGTCGTACCTGTGATTGTGGTGAGCCTGAATGGCAATGCTTAGGACATTCACCTTTATCTTAATAGATTTAAAATAGAGTAAGCTTATTATAAAAATGAACACGAAGGAAAAAAAGGCAAAATGCTATACCGTTGTATTATGGTTTAAAAAACAAAATTTACATTACAGAATTGCGATTTATGTACTTTTATGTTTTCAATTGGATATATCTTGTAAAAAATAATTCAATCTTTTCGTAACAATTATTTAGCTGATAAGACATACGTAATAAAATGAAAATAATTTAAAAATGAATGAACCGTTTTATATTTAAGTATAATTTTTTAATGCAAATATGCAAGTTCCTACATTTTGTTATTATGTGCAGATACAACTTATGTTATTATATTACAAAAAATTTATATCAAGCAGAGAATATGAAAAAAAGATTTTAAAAATGTATTTTATGTATTTTACATAAAATTGGAAAAAGATATCTTTTTCCAATACAAATGTATATCTGAATTGCATGTATTTATTTATGTATACATTCGTATTGTAGAATCTGCACCTGCAGAAAATACCCATGGCTCAATGGGATGGAACATGACATCCAAAATACCGAAATCATCATATGATTCATGATGACACAACCTTTTTAGTGGTACGATTAAGGGATTTTGTAAAAGATCGCTAGGAAACAAATATGCAATATTAAAAACAGTTATTAAATATGCAATAAGTATGCAAAAAGGTCTTAAATGAGCTATCTTACTTATACACCATTCCATGAGACACAATTAGTCCTCTGTCATCAGCTCCAGAGGCAAACAAAGGATATCGTTTATGAAATGCTACAGCGCGCACACCAGTCCCGTGTAATCGCAAAGTTTGATAAGGCTTGGTACTCAAATCCAAATCGAACCAGAGCATTTTGCGATCATATGTTGCTACCAAAATATTATCACCTCCTGAAAGATTTATAACATGATAAAGCTTATATTATGAACATAATTTGTATTCTAAATTAATCGAAAAATCTGTCATTAAAAGGACATCCATAAATCTTGGAACATCTTGTATAAAATGAGTTACCGGGGTGAATAGCCATTGTTGATATCCATTGTGAATTGGATAATAATTTCTTCACCATTTCCTGCTTTACTAGATCGTATATTCTCACGTTTCTTTGTGTCTAACAAAAAACAAAAAAACAAGAAAATATGTAAAATTATAGTATTTATACTATTGTATGTATCACAGTTGCTAATACTTACTGCGACAAATAAATATGGTCTAATTGGATGGAATAAAACACATTGTATTAATCCTTTTGATTTGTTAAATGGCAATTGAGATCTTCGTTTGGACAATTGATTAATCAGAACTGATCTATTTTGGCCATCTGGCATCACAGTAGCAAAATAATCTCCTTTTCCATGCCATGTTACTTGTTTGACAATTTTAAAATGATTTAGAATTATTCTAATTCCATTGGTTTTATGTTCTTCTTCTGCTTCCTCCCATTGTACCGCACTATTTACTCTTTCGCTTACTAATACCAAAAAAATGTTGGTTATATTTAAAAATTATTTTTATAACAGGTCCTAAACTATTGATAGCTTAAGTATCGATACCTATTATGTCACTCTGTGGTATTATCTCCAAAAGTTCATCAGTTTTTTTAGTAATATCATCATCTCCGACTCCAGGATTTATCAAAAGAATTTTTTTGTCACTTGCAACAGCTATCAATGATATGGCTTGGTTTGGGCACCAGGCAACACTTCGAATGACACCACCACAAGATACTGTTTTCAAGCATCTGCCTGTGCTCACTTCCCATACTATTAAAATAAAACATTTTGCTTGCATTATCTTCCATTCAAAATCAAATTCTTGCAAATAAATACAATTAAGAGTAAATAAAGAGTAAAGGTTAATATTAAATTTAAAAAATATGTATATGAGATGTCTCACCCTTCAATAGCATGTCATCTCCACCAGATGCGATAAACTGACCTCTTGGTTCTGTAGTAATACTTCTAACCATATTTGTATGTCCTTCAAATACCATAAACATTGTTGTTGGGAATGGTTGCAAGTCTTTTGGACTTGGTAATTGTGGAACCAAAACCTCGGGATCTATCGTCAATCTCATTTTGAATGCTCTAGGACACAAATACAAATCTAAACACCTCTGAAATCTTTCCTTGATATATCTAGGATATGCTGGTACTTGTAGAAGAGAATCGAATTTTTGTGGTACAAAATGTAACTTTCTCTTCCATGGAGTCATTTTCAATTTATTCCATTCTTTTAGTTCTTTCTCATCAAATAAGTATTCTGGTGGAGGATTGTAACTTTCTGCATGGCCAGGTAAGTGTCGCTTGGGTGCTGGAATATGTTTATGGATTCTACGCATTTCCTCCGCTTGATCATCAGACTGCCATAGCATATAAAATTGTGGACCTTGATTCTTTTCTCTTTCTTTTTGCATTTCAGCGGTGGATTTCATCCAACCCATCTTAAGAGCGTGTACTAATTTTGATACTTTCTTACTTTCGGGTACAGATGGTGTAAAAGAACGTTTGTGTGATGGGAATTTACGAAGCGGCATTTTCTCCACTTCAGAAGTGAACCAATCTACCCATGGCTGTAATTTACAAATACCTATGTAGTAGTTAATTATTCATATCAAATATCCTTAAATTAAATTACCATAAATATAACTTACCGCATATTCATCAAATTGAGCAACAGGTATTTTCTGCTTTTGGATTCTCACAATCAAGTCTATATCTGCCTCGCTTAGTGTAACATCTTGACCAGTTTGGGGATCTTTTATAGTTCTCCAAAAGTCAGGATCCTCCATTCTTTTCAGAAAATTATCTAATTCATCACCTTTTTCAGGTTTTACAATTTTCTTAGCTTCCCAATCATAACCAATATGATCATATTCGTCATACCATTTCATCGGTATCTTCCCAACTGTGTTGCGAATATCTTCTTCATCAGAACTATCATACACATATTCATCTTCATCATTAGACTCATTTTTAATTTCAACCTTGTTATTTACATCATTTTTATGCATCTGTGTTTTCTTGGAATTTTTAGAATTTTTATCATTATTCAACTTGTTTACGGATTTAACATTCTTTTTTACTGATGTCTTCTCTTTAGATACCAAGGATTCTTTGCTTTTATTTTTATTCTTTAATTTATTTTTATCATCTTTTAATTTGGTCTGCAGATCTTTTTGTATTTGTTTAGAACAGCTTTCTGTCTCAATATCTTCAGAAGATTCAGTATCTGTGGATTCATAATCTGATTCGGATTCATATTTGTTGTCTTCGTCAGAAAAAAGAACTTCATCTTGTTCTACATCTGAATCTGATATATTTGCATCCTCTTCTGCTTCTTCATCTGTGGAATCTTCATCATCATTGAGTCGAGCTTCTAACAAATCTTCCGTACCAGAATCCTAAATTATTAAAAAGGTATATATGTTTTATTATATTACATATAATGTTTTATTATATTATATATATGTTTTATTATATTACTATCGGTAACAAATTTTTATTTAATTTTCTAATTATATATGACAAGTGGTAAAAACAAATTTTTACAATGCGTTAGAATTGTTCATGGTAGAGGTATTTTCAAAGAACAAGTTAACTTTCCTAGTCAACAGATTAAATTATATGTAATAAATTAAGAAGTTTATAGTCTAAAAACTGTTTCAATGTGCATGCAACTATGCTCTTAAAATGTGCCAAATATGCCCAACAATATGCACTAAAAAGTGTAAAAAGAGTTCAGTATACACATTAATTTTTTCCGAGGCCATTAAAATATGCTATATTACAACAAAGTAACGCATTTTTTTAAATTTTTACATTTTTTACAAGGCCAGTGTTAAAATATGTTCTATTATAATGAGTTTATGAAAATATGATGCAGTTATTTAAAAGTGCACAAATATGCATTTATTTGTACAATAAAATTTATCCTAAAAGCTAAAAAATGTATGATTTGTACATATAATTAATCAGTATATCAATAACAATCTTCACAAAAAATATGCAAATGCATGAACTTCCTAACTCTAGTAATAAAACAAGAGTATATATTTATAAAAATGTATAATAGAAATATAGACAATACCTCCGCATCATCTACTGCATATGCATCTTTGGATTCTTTCTTCGATTTCAAATTAACAAGTTTTTTCTTTAAGATCTTGTGTTCCATTTTCTTTCACATTCATTAAAATTTACCCACGCTGAAATAGGTTAGATACTAAACACGTGTCGTCTATAAAACACTGTAAAACTGGAACCGTGTGAAACGTAAAATCAGCTTTCTTTAAAGGAAACAACTCCCTCTTGTAAAGGTAGAAGCAGTTTCAATGGACAAATTTTGTAGATGAATGATTGGTGGATTTGAATATACGCGCGTGTGGATAGACTTAAAAACTTAGGCGGATACTACTAACGTTCGTTGTGGATTCACCTTTCCTCGATAAGTTGTAAGCTTTAACGTCCGGTGGCGCTACCAGTCATGCGACGGGTACTCAGTGGCAAGCAAGATGGCCGAGCAGTGGTGATGAGTCGTGGTATATACCGCTGGTGAATTCGCGAATACGGCCCAGCGCGAATGGCCTAGCGATGGCCGAGTTCAACATCGACATCGGCAAGTTACCGGAGGACGTGCGGGAAAAGCTCGCCGAGTTGGATCTCGAACTGTCCGAAGGTGAGTGACTTTTCTTTTGACTGCAGCGAACGATGCGATCATCCACCGCCCCTCGCGGCGAACCCCGTTTCCTCCGGTTTGTCTCTTTCGCTCTTTCTGACTCACCCCGTGTTACACCGAGACGGAATCCCCTAGAAGCCCCCGTTTGTTGATAAAATCGATAACACCTTACGGCCGTTGCCGTCTCCGTTTCCTATGCGAAAAGACCGAAATTTTCTCCGTTTCTTATAGATACTTCGGCATCGTTTCTCTTTATATAAATTGGAGCAATGATAAAGGTTAACTAGAGAAATTCTAGTTAAACAAGTAACCATTTTACGCCGAACACAAGAGAACGCGAAAGCGACACGCGACGTGCGAAAAAGAAAATTTTAAAGTCTTTTCCACACTAAATGATATGAGGCGAATCTCAGTGGCGAATACGAATTTAGGTGTTCCTTACTTTTTATCTTTAAACAGTTTAAACAAATCGTTACATCCCCTTCGATTAATACACAAGTCTTTTATTCTTTACTCATGTTTCTATTCTGATTCTGATGGCTTTTTCAGTTGTAGCTTAATTTTAATTGTATCTCGTAATATGCATTAGTAATATCTCTCACATTTCATTGCAACTCTGCTCTTAGGATTGAGGTTATTGAACACCGGTTATTGAATGGCACATTTTTTTATGCAAAAAGTACAATCATATGACACGAACAGTATTCGGAATCTGCTGGTTTTCTCTTTTCTTTTCTTTTTTTTTTGTTTTGTCATATATCTGTGTATAATATAAGCGTGCGATCTCGACATCGCAGATGCGGGATGTCGGGTTTCCTTTCCATGAACGGACCGTAATGCACCCGAGAATGCGCTTATTTGCATTTGTAGTTAAGACTGTTGTAACGAAGACACGACCGGTTTCTCAAGCCGTTTCTCCCCAAATGGCAGGTGTCTCTCGGAAAAACTGTCGTTTGCACGCGTCGATGCGATGATGTAAGGTGTAATTAAGAGCCTGTCCATCGATTAATTAAGCATGGTTTCGTCTTGTTGAATAATTATGTACAAGTTAATTAGACTTTTACAGAAATATTAAAGATTATTAGCGGACTGTGCCAGCTTGGCAACGTAACTCAAACTAAGCTTTCTCTCTCTTTTTCTCTTAGAGATATTTATAACGGTCGTGAAAATATTGAACGTCCGAGTCGGGAGATTCAATATGTCTTATTCAATTGATGCTAAGAATTATTTGATTCTCTAAGCTCTTCGTGATCTGTGATTATTGACACGGCGGCATTCCGATAATTGATACATCCTTGAATCTAAAAATTTTCGATGCTTACGGATGAGCGTCAATTAATTATTAAGGTCATCGCACTGCGGACTCGAGCCGTGTCGCTTAAAAGGCAGTGACAACTGGGCGATTGAACGAACGAGAAAAACGTAATTTCTTGGTCAACTACTTGCCCGGCCAGCACGTGGCACGAATATGTAACGTAAGCAGCTTACGTCGTGCGGCTGTAAATAAGACTTAAAAGTCTGCGTCAGCTGCATCATGCATCCGCATTAATAAAGCGGCGGAGACGGTTTCACTGCACGCCTTCCAACGCTCGACCTCGCGCTACTCTACGATTTTCTCGTTATAACATTGTGCATATTTTTCATAATATATCATGATGCCGCAGTATTGGCTACCGTGAGAAACTTTATGTGGAATAATTAGGATGAAGGAGTCAATTGGGATAACGTGGAGTCCACTTTTTGTTCGGTCAGAATTTTCACACATTTTCCACGCTTTCCCCAATGCATTATCTTCGAGATTTAGTTCTTGTATTCTAGATCACGAATCTCGTCGTACCAATGAATATTGACGAAGTGTACAAAAAGTATCGCGCAGTTTGAGCTTTGTATTCTGAACGGGACTAATTCGTTTCGAAAGCATAACGAATCATGTATATTTAGTCATTGTGGACATTGCTGAAATGCTATGACAGATAATAGAAGAATAAGTGAGGATGTATGCTTTGCACTGTTTATACTTAGAGATAAAATAAAAGTGAAAGGCAGTACTCTTTTACCAAATCGTTTAATCCGTTTCTTCGTAGATTCTTTACAAGTTACAAACTAGAACTCCTAAAATTTTTTAAAAATTTTTTGACTTAATTTGGAATAAAATATTATCCACTTTTCGACTGGTAAATATTTATTGTTTATTTATAAGGATATACTTAGATGAGTGTCCTAGACAAACAGTATCACCTGTTAATAATAGATTCCTAAGGTCATTTTGAAAAGTCTTTATACGAAAATGTCGAGGTTACAGTAATTTTTAAAATGCGAGTTGTCAAAAATTTACACACCCAGGCACGTCGCATATTGATTTGAGTTTTGTATTCTTATCATATGACAAACCTCAGAAATTTACTGTTAATGGATGAGACAGTTAGTCTGAGACACTTTGTATATTTAACATTATTTTCCAATCTATTCTTTTAACGATATTAAAGTCAAACAAATTGAATTGACTTATCAGCACGATGCGCAGCGCACTAGAATTATTTACAAGTTGATCTGTAATATACAAAGTACATCCAAATTGCCATAACAACAGCGTTGAAAATAATTATTGGAGATACAATTATTACACACGTTAAACTTTTACTCGTCTCTTTCTCTTCTGTGTAAATATTTAATGAAATAATTATATATTTATATCTAAAAGCCATAAAAATATTAAAAATTACAAATCTTTAATGAATATTACAAAGTTTCTATGTGTAATGTTTTACGTGCGATATTTTGCAAATAACAGATAACAAATAAATGATTATTTACTTTAGGGTTGTCCCGCCGGTGCCCGATACTCTTCCGGAGCCTCTTCCTCTTTTTTCAATCCTCCTGTTATTTGCAAAATGTTACACGTACAATATTACACATAGAAACTTTAAAATATTCAGTAAAATATTTGCATTTTTAATATTTATGATTTTTAGATATAAATACACAATTCTTTTATTAGATATTTATACAAAAGGAAGATATAATAAAGGAAGACGAGAGAGATGAGTAAAAGTTTAATGTATGTAATTATTGTATCTCCAATAATTATTTTAAGCGCTGTTGTAATTTGGATGTATTTTGTATGTTACAGATTACAGATTACAGATTATAAACAACTCCAGTGCGCTGCACTTCGTGCCGGTAAGTCAATCCAAGTTGTTTGATATTATTGAAAGAATGGATTGGAAAAAAATAATGTAAAATATACAAAGTGTCTCAGACTAACCGTATCATCCGTTAATAGTAGATTTCTGAGATTTCTCACACAATATAAGATAAAAGATAAGGATATAAAAATCAATATGCATATCTGAGTGTGTGAATTTTTGACAATCTGACAGTCGACTTTAAACACTTTAAAAATTAACGTAGCTTCAACATTTTGGTATAAAGATTTTCTAAAATGATTTTGGAAATCTGCTATTAACGGGTTGGTCTGGTATACACTGTATATTAAAAAAAAATTTTTTTTTTTTCGGACTCTACTTACATTTATTATCGCTCCAGGCTATTTAGGGCAATTTAGAAAGCGTTATCTTTGTCGCAGTCATTAATTCCCGATATAGAAACCTGAGTAGTGCGCCTAAAAAAAATAAAAAGTAATCTGTAACTTACTATTTTATAATTGCCGGGTGTTATTACGAGAGTCTAATTAGAGAAATAAACGTTTATCTCAACATTTCCGTGAACTCACGCGTGATTACATCGTTACAGTGTTATTTAATCTTAAAGATTGTCAATATCACATAAACATCTTCGAGCACAATAGAAAACTTATTTATACTAATTCTTTTCGATAAAATAATTATAAAATTTTTGTTAACGAACAGTTATTAAAAACATCATTGTCAGAATTTTATTTTAAAATCCGTGATATTTTGAAACGCGTCCGCAACGCTACGGTATTGTTACGAGCAATCGGCTTAATTCTCCGATCCTTTTTATCCAGCAATCCTGTTCCCTGAACCGGGCAACGGGGAGCGGGAGGAGGATAGGATCGATTGACGGCGATTTTGTCGCACGCGATGCAGATGCAACTGCGGAGCGGAACGCAGCATCACCGACATGCGGCGTTCCTCCTTCATGGATCGTTTGTAAGATCAAGGTCGCCGGTTTCGTGGGTAAACGTCCTCGAATCGCCTTGAAAGCGCCGGTGTGCCCGGTCAGCGCACCACTCACCGTGGACAATTCCGCGTTTATCGGCTATTGCAGTTGTTCCTCCTCCGCGCCTCCTTCTTCCGATAGCAGTGTAGTCAAAAAGTTCCGGGACTAAATTATGTAGAGCAATCTGTTATTATTTTATGAACATCTTATTTTTATGTTTTCTTTTATTTAGTCCCGAAACTTTTGAACCACATTGTGCACATGGCGCAATGGTCTACAGTCGCCTCTATCGCGCGCTTAGGATGAGTCGAATATGTATCGTGTATGTATATGAATTATAACATCATTCGGTTTGATTGTAAGCGCGCGCAGTGCTCTTAAAATTCTTTAATGAGCGTTGCGCAAAATATTCCACAACTCGAGGCATTAACGACAGATTCCGCGATGAAGCTCGAAGAAAATTGCAATTATAAGATTGTGAGTTGTAGGATACTTTGTATACCTTGAAAAGTATTTTTCTTTGCTCGTATTACGGATCGTATGGCGAATCAGTGGTATTTTTAGAAGACAGATAAGACGAGAAAGTTTGAAAAGCATTATTGTGCAGCTATTTCGCCGCCTACTCGTTCGTAATCGCAGGCGAAGCCGAAGCATTTGACTTTGCGAGACGATTGAGCGTAGGCGCCTCGAGTCTTATTCGCGGAAAGACTTGTGCTTCGCTAGCATAGTTAAGGGTCGAAGAGCAAGCGGCCCATTTATCGACCCACACATTGAGGCTTCGAATGAAGTAACATCTAGCAATTATTCGATTCTCATCATCGCGTTCCAGATGAATTCTTTAGATTTAATGGAACGTAACATCGCTCGCAGTTAGCAGTAGATGCGCGATGAGAGTTCCATGCCTCTACAAAGGTTCGAGATTCGAAGCAGATAGCGGACGTGTAGTGGAATTAAAAATTCGTAGAGAGTTGCGAGCGAAATGAATTGCAGCTTAAGCTCTAGAGACGGGAAAGTTAAATTATGTAGAGGAGAAATACAAAGTGGTAACAGCTCTCGACTTCATAGCGATCTGAAGTCGTTTGCGAAGTAAGTATCACTTTGACACGCGTAAAAAACATTGTAATTTGAAAACTGTAGGAAAAGTGGGCTTGATCTCCAAAGACGAATGGCAATGAATTAGAATTTAATATAAATTATCGTGCGCATACGCGCTCTGTGTATCGCGCAGCTTTAACACCGCGGACTGCAACAATCGCGAAGGGCCGAAACTCCGGTCAAGTCTCGTAATCCCACCTTAAGAATCTCGCGTGTGGAAGGAGGCAGGGCACACACAGGCGAGTCGCGAGATCTCGAGAGTCGGTGATGCTGGAGCGAAGGCACGAGTGAGACACCGTGTCGGCGCGGAAAAAGGAATCGAGTGAGATGGAGCAAGGGAGAGTGGGATGCTGCGAGAGCGAAAAAGGCAGGCGAGAGTGGACGGACAACATGCCACCACCACTCCCTTGTCTCTCTTTCTCCTTCTTCCTCGCTTCTCCTTCTTCGCTAGCTCGTGCCTGCGTTTTAAGTCCTCTCGCTTACTCCGTCTGGCAACTTTTACACGCGCGAGCCGGCTTCCCACCCGTTCTCTCTCTTCTCTCTCTCTCTCTCTCTCTCTCTCTCTCTCTCTCTGCCTCTCTCTCGCCCCGTGCACTCGTCGAGAGAATCGCCAAGCCGCGGATAGCGCGCAAAATGCCAGTGATTCGACGCGACTCTGGGACTACGCGCTTCGAGACGAAGCGAGCGTCGCGCGAATTCGAACGCGCGGACGCGCGCCGAGCCGTCGTCGTATGTCGCGTGATCTCGGAGCACGCTTCGCCTTGCATGTGAAATCTGGAAATTCCTTCGCCTGGGATCTTTCGAAACGTCCGTCCGCGAGTCTTTCGGCGAGGGAATTGCATTTTTCGCGGGTGCGATGCGTCAAGTTTGTGCGAACACGTTATCCTGTACGTTTCGCGGCGCGAATTGAGAGGTCTTTGCTCGCCGTTCGTAGACGAAAACAGAATATTTGTGAGGATGGTGTCTGTGGCAGTGACGCTGTGATGATTTTATAAACAGCCGTTAGATATTTGCGTGCTGGAATCTGGATAATGTGTTAACGCGTATTGCGAACAATGAATCGCGCGTTTCAGCAGTGAGAAAAGAGAGAGTATCTTCGTAGGACATGTTGTCGCAGATACAGTTTTATTTATCATTTATGGTTTATCATTTGACAAAATCGTGATTTTAACGAACCTTTTATTCGCGGACAAATGCAGAAAACGATTAGACTTAATTAGGAACTTTGTAAACAGTGGACACCACGGAGAAATATATTCGAATCGATGAGAGAGATCGCGTGAAGAACGGGCAGAGGAGGAGAGGAAAGGGGTAAAACGAATGTCGTAATCATCCGAGGGCGGAGAAAGTGTCTTACAATGTTTCCAAGTACTTTCGTGGCGGTTAGAGCATCGAACGGAATATCCGAAAGAAATCAATTGATTTGAGCGGCGAAGTGATCGTGATCTGAGGAGGATAAATTTGTGCAAATTTCCGATGCGTTACGTCAATATGAAATGAACACACAAATATAAATAGACGTGTTGTTTGAGTTTGGCGATAAAAATCATGATAGATCGAAACGATAGTCGTCAAACTTGTCTTGCTTGAGAATAAATTACGACACGAGGTTCATCGATTCCCTCGGGAGTGCGTTGACTTTGCGGACGTTCGTGCCGAATCTTTTCGCGTAGAATGATTATCTTGGTTGAACCGAGGGCACGGAAGAAAAGGGAAGAGGAGGGCAATGAGGAGGAGGGCGGAGAAGCGGCGGCGGGAGCGGCGGCGGCGGCGCAGCAGCAGCAGCAGCAGCAGCAACAGCAGCAGCAGCAGCACGGCGTTGAAAAAGGAAAGCCACGCTGATCATCCACGACTGGAAGACCTCGGCGTTGCACTTTAACGAACCTTAGCGCAACGAAGACGGGACGAAGAGAAAAGGGGAGAGAGAAAGGGCGAAGAGGAGAACACGGATAGCAAAAGGGCAAGGAGGGCAAGAAGGAAGAAAGAAACAAAGAGTAAAGGGATCGCGGAAAAAGAAAGGAAGAATCGAAGAAACGAAGCGACTGAAAGGAGCCAATTCACTTTATCTCCATCAATTCATTTGTTTCTACAAATGCTCGCTATCGCCGAATCGGGGTCACGTAGATCGCTATCTTGATCTGGCGAGTTCTTTCTGGGATTTTCGGTCGCAGTAAGACATTTTTGCATTCGCAGTTTATCGACGGCGCGGACTTTCCGTTCCGCGAACGCGTCCATTCTCATCACATAAATATTTCCGATGCTATAAATCTGTAGCGATTCTACTTCCGCGAGCCAAGGTCGGTCGCGCTGCCTCATGAGGCCGCTCTCCTTCGAGAATCTGAGGAGGCTCGTGGGCCGCAAGAAGGATCGCAACGAGCCCTCCTTCAAGCGCAGCGAGTCCTTCAAGAGAATTTCCATCAGGAAGAGCTATCTGGACCGGGGTAAACGACGAAACCGTCTTCAGAAGAGCGCGGAGCCCGCCGTTAATCCTCCCGCGCAACCGGTTACGAACGACAAGGTCGCTCCACCAATCAAGGAGCAGGAATTGAAGAAGAATCAGGAGTGCTTTCTCAGTCGCGACTCTATCACTTACGACGAGTGGCTGCAAGGAGTCAGCTCCTCCTCCCGCGAGAAACTCCACGAGGATTCTCTCGAGTCTCTACAACAGCCCAAAGGCAAGGTCACGAAACTCTCGAAACACACGAGTGCAGATTCGGTCGCCGAGGATCTGAAAATTCTCGAACTCGATGCCTCTCCCATTTTGACGCCCAAATCCAAACTCTTCAGAGTCACCGCCGATTATACGCGGAGCGAGGCGACCGACGAGCACGATGTCCTTTGGACTCAGGAGTCTTCTGCGGAAGGACCGCCTAGCGTCAGCGTCAATCTCGGCAGAATATGGAGGGATGCGATGCCGGTCCCGGTTCCGGCCTCGGTGTCGGCTCCGTATCCCTCCGTCTCCAATCCATCGGTCCATCATTCTCTGGACAGCGCTCTGAAAGAGAAGAAACCTCTGCCGACTGTTGCGAGGACAGTTTCGGCGCCGGAAAAGCCCGTCAGCAAGGAAACCTCATCGTCGTCGTCTTTCGGTTTCTCCCTCAGGATCGCCAGACTTGCGAATTTCAGGCCAGGGTGATTAAGATACGAATTTGTCGATCAACGATCGATCAATGAAAATGAAGAAATAAAAGCATACCTTTGAAACTCTCAATATAATCAATACTCAAAATAGCAAATACTTAAATGCTTAAAACTCTTGTATATTAATATCTCTGTTCATTTAAAACAAAGTTATTAAAGAATCTTGTTTTAAACTCTCTAGACTGAAACTTCTCTTTAATGTACTTTTTTCTAGTTTTTTTTCTTTTTAATAAAAGTAATATAAAAAATATTTTCACTTGCGACAAAATTATAACAATAAGTAATTAAAAAATAAGAAGCATTTGAAAAGCATTAAAGTGTTTGCTGTTTTGTTTTAATCGCGGTTGTTTCAATTTTGATATATTGCCGTTTACGATTGCACATATTTATAGCAATAAAAATGACGTAGACGAAATTTATGGCAAGACAAATGTTAAGAGAGACCGCTCGACTTTTCACAATCAATTTCATTGATCGATCGACTCTCGAATAACGTGCTGTTTGAAGAATATTCGATCGCAATCGACGCTGCTTGACTATAGGGTGACGCGAAACGGTCTCTTCCGTCGAAAAACACCGAAGCCATCGCCCAGCGTAAGCGCGGAAGGATACTTCAAGCGAACGAGCACGTCCAGACGCTCGAGTTCTCGTCGCCGAGGCAGCAGGAGATCGTCTCAGCGCGTTAGCAAGAGGAGCCAGCAGTCCGCTGCTCGCACCAGCAGTCCGGTATGGTTTGTCCCACCGGAGAGACGTCGTTCGAGACGCCAGCGACGAGTCTGGCGGGAGATCAGATACTTTCCCGACGACGAAGGTCCGATCATAGAAAGGATCAACGACTGGTCGTCGAACGTGTCGGACGACCAATTCGACGATCAGAAGCTGCTGTTGTCGGGCGACTTCAACGAGCGTCGAGAAGATGACGCCTTGAACTCGATTGTCTCGTCGTCTCTTGGCTCCTTCTCGGCCACGTCGTCCTCGTCGTCGGCTTGTCCAGCCCCGAAAATCAGCGATTTCAACGAGGACAAGCTGTTCTCCGAGGAGCTGAGGACCAACGGTCTTCTCACGCGCGGGACCATGTGGAAGCTTTCGATGACAGCGACGACAGCGACGACGATGACGACGATGACGAAATCAACGGCGACGAGTACGATCGCTTCTGGAAACTACTTTGCCAGCAATCAGTTTCTCAGTTTTCTGGCCAAGGACGTTGTCAGGGAGAAGTCGAAGAGCGAGAATTCCAACGCGGGTTACAGATGTTTTTCATCGACCGACAGCGAGGACGACGATGCGGATCGCTTCAACGAGCGCAAAAGAAATGTCAACTTGCCCCATCAGCGGCAGCATCATCTGAAGAGACAGAAATCCGGGCTCAGGCGGAGACCTTTGCGCCGGAAATCGCAATTGAGAAGGGCGTCCGGCCAGCCGGTGTTCCTCGTGCGCAAATGCTCATCCTTGAGGAAACGTCCTAGTAAGATCCGAATTACGATCTTTTTTACAAACTGTCCCGAGAAAAACGAAAGTAACAAAACTATTAGCAGTAATAATAATAATTTTTTTTTTCAAACATGATAAGAGGCATACATTTTTAACGCACAAGCAAATTTAATCTAAAATTATCTGCATAATAAGCCCCAAGTTTCTTAAGGTCTCGAGTGATCACTTGACAATTTGCTGTTGGTAATTGGATGTAGCGCAGTAGAGGAAGGAAAAGTTACAAGCAGGATAATATAACAATAGAGATTACATCATTAAGCACTGAAAAGGTGTAATCTATGATGCATACATATAATTTTGCTCTCGCTGATCCGCAGATTATATTCGACGTTTATCGAATAACATGACGCATTTGAATACCAGTGATTAACACGTACGTGTTGAATCTATTTGTCTATCTATATCCTTTGCTCGGCTGTTATTCCACGTCCGTCAGCATTAATTGCGTAACGCGTTTCCCGCGATCGGTTTCGATGAGCCTCTTGCTCGATCGCAAGTTTACACACATATCGCGATTTAATGTGTTCCCCGCCGTAGCTTTCGCTACTTCCTTTGAAGGCTCGATAATTCGCAGCACACGGAAATTGCTTCGTGCTTTTATTATAAATCACAATTTGTTGCAATTCTTTTGCTTTTAACATTCAAATTTTGGAATTTAAGAACGACATTGAAGAATGCATCTTGTATTGCAAAGGAATCTATCGCTCTTTTCTTTTATATCTGAATTATGAATTTCAATATTTATTTTTCTATTTTTAATTATTTCATTAATACTTGTGCATTTTTCAAAAAAAAAAAAATATTTTATATTTTTATTTCATATTTTTGTGTGTGCATGTGTTCTTTATATTTTTTTATATTTAGAAAAGAAATGATACTTTTATTACACAATTAGAACGTTTTAGCTTTGGAGTGAAACACGACGCCATTTCTGTTTCCTGAGAAAAATCGGAATTTTCCATGTGAACATATGTGATTTGTACGTTACATTGCGTTTTCATATAAATCATTGCATAGACGTGAATGCGATCTAATTTTCGCATCAACGATGTTGAGAATCGCTCGAATATGCTGATTAGCATAATCGCGGTGGCCCGGTTTCGTTTCGCGAACGTGGAAAAATCGTGTCTCGGCCGTTAGGATCGATTCTTCGGCGTTTTCTCGAGTTACAAGGCGTGACGAAAGGTGAGTACGCTAACCAGTTTTATATCGGAGCACATATGAGCGAGCTGCACGAGCTATCAGTCGCTGGCAGCCAAGCGTGCCTCGAATTCAAAATTCAATCCTAAAAACGCCGGTTCGATCTCTATGATTTCTTTAATTGCGCGGTTTATTATCAGCGATGCAAAAAATATCTTTCCAGCATATATTTGTGATAGGTGCTACACTGCTACACACCGATTCATTTATAAACTTTATTTTTATCTGCATCTCCTTTTCTCATAAACTGCGTATTATATTTTTCAAATCTAGATTATCTGCGCCTCATTATTATGCCGTGCCGTAAATATCACTGCTCGTTTAACGCAATAAAAGTATAATAAACGATGCGATAAAGCGTGTTATACTTCTACATGATGTGTTCACTGTGAACGTAAAAGGATGAATTTTCTTTAAACGCGCGATCGGGAAAATGTTAATGTTAATGCTGAAAGAGCAATTTGCCGTATACAATGATGGTATAATAATATCTGAAATATAATGTCAGATGTAAATGCAAAAATTAGATTCTGTATTAATGAAGTTATTTTCCGTTGTTGCAGGAGACATTACGCAGAAGGGATATGAAAAGAAACGGACGCGTTTACTTCAGCAATACGCCACAAAGCAGATAGGTGAGTCTCTCGCTTTTCTAGAGTTCATTAAGATTTCCGCAAGTAAACAACGGGAGATACCATCGCGCATTAATTGCAATACACGATGCGAAGCGGTTGAAAAGTTGGCGATGTGAAGATACATTATTGTTTACTCGTCACTTATATTCGATCGATCGATCGTTTAGAATCTTATTTGGAGACAACTTTCGACAAAACTCTCAGCACCTTGATAGAAACATTTTATTCTAAACATTCTATTTAATTTAATTGAAGTTCAATATCCAAAGTTAAATTTAGTCCACAAACATATATAAGTGAATTTTGATTCGTATCTTTATAGTGAGCTGCAAAATACGATTTGAAAAATGTCAAGTACAACGATAATTAGATAATGCTTTGTTGAACGAAATAGAGAGTCTCGGCTTCCAACTCTTATCCTTCGTTGCATCTTGGTGTGTGCAACATTACGAAATCGAGACGCAACGAGTTCGCAATATCAATTGCGTTCCGATTCTCAAGGGACATGCGCCTCATTGTTTACACAATGGCGCGGATGTAATCTTGTAAAAGGAAAGGACGAAGCGCAATCCTCGCGTGGCACGCGCTGTTTTTACACTTGGCACCTCACAACTGCAACGTGCGTTTACGGTTGCGCAAATCGCTCGACACAGGTTGAGAGGAAATTCGCGGCATCGTAAAGAACGTGTGAGGAGCATTTTGTTTCAATTGATCGCTTTAGAAAAAATTGAGGAGCTACAAGAGTCTCGTACATTCGCACAGAGCCACCCCGTATAGTTGCACGGACGCGCCTTTACGCCCGCAGCTGCGATCGGTGGAACCGCTGCAATCGGCTCGCAGTTTAACTGTACCTGCACGCGGAAGAAGCGCTTCCGCGTTATCCGCTCGTTATATGCTACGTGCCGCTGCCATTGTCATGAACGCGAGTTCGAAGTCAGCAGCGACAGTTTTCTAGCCCGTATGGCCGAGTCAAATAACGGGACGCTCTTTTATATCGATCCTTCAAGTTGAAATGTCTAATGTCTCTCTAGTAAATTTTCCGGATAAAGAGAATCGTTATGATAATTGCACCGCCAATGATGCATCGCAAAAGGAACTCTTTATTTACAGCTATTACATTTATCTAAAACTTGCTCACTATATCGCCTTTCTAATGACAAATATTCGCCAACTATTCAGCGTGGCTAAAAGTCCCGGGATTGAATCGATAAAAAATTTGATCGGCGAAAAACTATCTATGTGGACCGTAGGGGCTGCAAATGATGGTGTCGGTGATGGAAATGGTGGAGGTGTCGTTGGTAAAGGGCTGGAGAGAACGGGTTACGGAAGCGCAGGAGGTGGTGGCGGTGGTGATGGAGGAGGAGGAGGAGGGAGGGAGGGAGGAGGGCGTATGGCGGTGGCGGTGGTCGACCGCAGCCACGTGCACGGCGCACGCAACGGCGCGTCACGCACAACGAGAAGCGCTATCACTCAGGTAGCGCTACGCACCACGTAGCCAGCGAACGAACGTATCTCCGAATCGCGACGAACGGACACGTTAGCGCGTTATTGATTGTACATCTTAATTTTGTTTTCATTTTAGCTTTTAGCTTGCCTTTCTTAAGCCTTCGAGTTGTAGAAAGTTTATCAATTATAGATCATAGATTTGCAATTAGATTAGAACGTAGAATTTCGATTCTCTGACTGTACGGTATGTGCTGCGGAACGAAACGTGATGAATAGAATGTTTTTTTTTTTTTTTTTTTTATTTTCTCTCTTCTCGAAGAGAACATTCCAAGGCGGAATGTATATTCTACGAGAGATGCCAGCGAAATATTCCACACTTGAAAAGATCTCCTCATCTGTAATCGTTGCATCCAAATTTTTACAAATAGTTGTTGAATCCCGGAATGATCGCATCCCCCATTTTCTCTGTACATTGTGGAAAATTGTGAAAACGATCGATCCTTGCGGAACGAGTTCCATCCATCGTATCGCTTATACATACACTTTTCATCATATAGCTTGCCTGCTTTTACTCCCCCCCCCCCCCGTCTCGCGTGTGTTGCCTCGAGACGCTTTTGCACCTTTAGATACCTTTGTAATTTGACATAGCCAGGCGGTAGTCGAGACCGGTTGTTCCACCTTCGGGTGACTCAAGATTGCAGCCAGCCAGCCGGCCGGCCGGCCGGCCTACCATCCATCGCGCGGCATTCTCGCTATTCAACCGACTGCGTCGCGTATCCGCGAGCGCGCGCAACACCTCGATTTTTCATCGATTGTCTTCGCCCATAGAAATTCTTACTCGCGGTAGATCGCCGATATATCGCATACCACGGATGTGTATTACAGAGGGATGAAGAAACCTATGGTTTCCAGGGATTCCACGTAATCCTTCTGATTACCGCGAGATCTTTCACGCACGCGGCGCGGAAAGCATGTTCGACGTCGATTTCGCGTCATCAGGAAGAAAGTGTAGGAATTTTTTTTTTATTTTTCCCCGCGACCAAGTTCGATTGTCCCTCGACCGAGTAAACGTAATAAATTCGCGTAGTCTTCCTGAAATTGCCTCGCGATTATTCCGACTGAAACACGCCACCAACCGGCCCTCCTCCTCCTCCGACCATATCCTGCGCTGAGCCACGGACGATCGATACGAGTCACATTCTCGACGCAGCATCCAATGGTGGAATGACCAGTCAATCAATGGCGCAATTAAACGGTTACTTTGCATCCGGATAAATGATATCTTATTAATGGCATGTAAATCATGGAGAAGTTGGCGAATCCTCACGGGGGGAGGGGGGGGGCAATACTAATCGCTTGAAACCTATTCCTTAGAAATCCGCCAGGATCCGTCAGTCTTTGCCTGCATTTTTCGATCCAAGGATTCTCGGAGTCTCGATTCCTTCGATCATTAACATAACACACAGTTGGATTTATCTTGCTCGACATTTTTCGTTAGAAACTCGCTGGGATTGACTTATCGATTGATTAGAGTAGTGAACATTGATCGAATAACAGACACGAGATTGCTCTCGAGTTAACAGACGGAAAATGTATTGATTCCTAATATTTCCAATTAATCCGATCGTGAAGCTAATGTTTATCCGGGTGCGGCGAGATCGCGAGGAGAAGCGAACTACGGCAATTCTTGCGCCATGCCAGCCAAGTCCCCTCGTAGCGTCCTTTCTTTGTCTATGTGTCGTTGTTGTTGTGTTGCATGCAGGCGGCCGGCTAGTGCCTGGCGGGATCGCTAGTCCCCCGGGATCTGGCGGCTCCACAGGGAATACCGGAAATTCGAACTCTACGGCAGCAGCGGCGGCAGCGGCGGCTGCCAGACGCGGTAACCGCAGACTCACGCGCAATGAGAGCCGCTACCATTCCGGTGAGTATAATTTCTAAGGATGACATTAGGGATGCGAGGACTGTCATACAGGTAGTAGATACATACATATTTGTTAAATTATTAGCTTTGTTTTTTTTTTTTAGAATTATAACAATCGATTGAACAAATTGCTTGAATCATTAAGAAGGGAAAGAACATTTTTTTTGTGATGAGAAAATGGGTGATGAAATATAATAAGCATCTTATACAGATGTCTAAAAAATGAATTATAAAAAATAATAAGATTAGCGTGGCTGTATCTTTTTATCTCGCTATTGCTATTTGCATCGTTGCGCATTGTTGTTTTATCGCGCGAGCTTTCCAATTGTCAACTCCAAGGCATTTATTTTTAAATGTTATAAAGCTTGGTTTGCGCCTCGCTTTGCACGTCCTACGCCTGTTCTTCGAGTGGAACGTCACGAAAAGAAAGTCGTTTTGTTCGGAAGCGTTGATGGAAAGGTCCATTTATCTTAACGCAAAGAGCAGGTAATCTTCCACCTGGTGCACCGTTATCGACGGCTGCTGTCATCGGACCGTACCTCGTAGAAGATAAGTCGGTCCAGAAAGAGGCGCGTTGATAGACTTGTACAATGTACAGGGTATCTCAAGAAAGCAGGAAATATTATTGCACATGCAGTATGTTTAAAAAGAACGCGATCGGCGTTTTTTTTTTCATTCAATTTAATAAATCTCAAAAAGACGCACATATACTACAAGTACAAATGTAACGTGCGATCACATCAGCAAGTCTCATCCATTGTTGTCAACAATAGTCTAGCATCATTGTGGCACGCTATTATCTGTTACAGCATGAAGATGCCAGATGGTTGAGTATTACATTTTTACCTGCAGCATATGTGTAATTTTTTCCTTAGATTTATGAAAATTGATTCGTTCAAAGAAATGCTGGTCATGTTTATTTTTAAATGTACTGGAAAAGTGATATTCGAGAATTAATTGCTTAAATAAGAAATTTTAATTTTTTGAAACAATATGAATGTTATGCATATTTTCGCGCTGAAATTGTTATGTGATTACATATTTTATAAAATTATTCGCAACAAACTCGGATATTGAGACACCCTGTATGCGTGGACGTACATAGCACGAGTATAGCTCGTAACGAGCCACGTCCCGGTGTTGCATGATGTCGTAATCGTAACTATACGGGTATACTTCACCCGGAAATGTATAGCGAGCGACTCAGTGACCGAATGTTACCTGCATTATACCGCAGTTTATACGCGGTGTATCGGCATCCATCGTCAGAACTCTAAGCATCGCAATAGCGCAGTCGGAAAACGCATATTCATCTTAATCGCAAATCCAAGTTCTGCGACGTAAAAAAGACTTCAAAGAATGCAAAGCTGTCGAAATTGAAGATCTTGAGTTTGGATAAAAACATTCAATTTATCTATACACAAACTACAGTTTTACATATATTTTAATAACAAACTTGAATACCAAAATTTTTTAAGACGTAAAATAATGACAAAATATTAACAATGGGCAGATTCTTCCGTTCGTTGACTGTATTTTTCCAGCATCTTTCTTTTCAACATTAATAACCGCGGACAAAAACATTTTAACGCCTCGATCAGGTCGGTAAATATATTTGCAATCTATTAAGGGGGAGAACAAATAGAATTTGCACATCTTGCAAATGACAGCGTACGAAAGAGGCTCATTTATCTCGATGTGTATGCCGCGAATAAAATTTACATGTGATCTCTCGCTTCTGACGTCGCAGTGTCATACGGTTGCAGTGTGTAGTCGAGAACTTTAATTCGACTCTTGAATCTTTTCAAGCCTTAGTGTCTTCTTCACACAAATCCTTCCGTATGCACATACACACACACTACGAGAGCGTCGCGCGTTAGATCGTCAGCGACGCAGAAATGCACGATGCGCAATATGCATGAGCACGTACGTATAAATAGTGTCGAAAGATGATGAACGGATGATGATGCGGAAGTAAAGGAAGAATGACGAGTGCCTTCTTGTGTCATCCGTTCTCATCGTCATTCGCTCGAGTAATCAGTTTCTATCGTGGTCATTCATTCTGATCGTTATTCGCTTGAGTAATCAATTTCTATCATGTGTAGAGGTGCGCCAGGAGGCGGTGCAGCAGGCCTTGGCGGCGATGCAGGGACGGCCGAAGCCATCCTTACCGATGCCGTCGAAGAGAACCTCCGTGATGGCCAGGAGTCCTGATCGGGAGAGACGCGACAGCGGCGAGTCCAGCAGCGACGAGGACAGCGTTGTCACCGAGGAGAGTCCTAGCGCGGGCGGCCCGACTGGTAAAATATCAAAATTGTTTCAGAGCAAAGTGTCTCATTCCTTGTGCGTTACTTTTTAACGACAGATTTTTCGAAATCAATTTTTTCTGCTAAAAATAATCACAATTTATGAGCGATTGAAAAAAAAAAGCTTTTTGCAAATTAAACTTCAGAAAGTCAGTAATATATTTTTTTATTTTAAATGGGGTTAAAATGTGTTATTAATTTTAAATTGATATTTAGTTATAAGAATGTATGTGACAAAAGATTGGAAAGAGTTGCAATAATTAAAAACGTTTTGTCAAGTGAAGCTTTATAAAAAAAAATTAAAATGGAATTTATACGAAAATTTAACGTTATATTATACTTTGATGTTAGAGTTTAATAATTTATTTCCAATTTTATTGTTTCAAGCATTTAGCAGAAATTTGCGACTGAAAGTGTATGTAGGTGCTACCTTAACAGAAATGTAACGTAATAGACAGCGTAATTACAAATGTAGTTTTGTCCATCTGTTCGGTCATACTCGCATATGCTGAAAGAAAGAAAAAAAGCAACATAAATGTATAACGAAACCGCGTCATTTATGGTTGAAGCGCCACATGACTCCGCGGTACGTTAGTATCGCGTGTCCTTGACTATTTCCGCCGGATGCGTCGACGATGCGCCAATAATCAATACGCATTATTTTCCTTCCATGGTACGAATGGAAAAAAAAGTGGTTGAATCGCACACTGAAACGTAAAAGAAATCGCGCGCGCGTGACCTCGCACTGTCAGTCGACACAAAGTTGATTGTCGGACACGCAATGTGTAACTCCGTCTTATATCTGTTGATCTTCTCGCAGGTACAGGTCTCTCGGACACCAGTAGCACTGGTTCGGCCCGTGACACCCCGCCGCCACCGAGGCCGCCGGCGAGAAGGCCACCTGGTGCTGACATCACCGACATCGCCGAGTACACGCCGCACGCCTATTGCAACATCCAGCCGCCGGACGTCACCCACGTGACGAGCAGCACTCCAGTCGGGCAGCAACAGTCGGCGACGCGGCGACCCGGTGCCGATCGAGTGAATCGCTACGCGCACGTGGTTGATGATCAAAATAGCACCGGTACCACCGGCCGCTGGAAGGTTTCCGCCAAGATCCAGCAGCTGTTGAATACACTGAAACGGCCGAAACGTCGGCCGCTGCCAGAGTTTTACGAGGACGACGACATCGAGCTGGAGATCGCGGCGAATCCGAAGGATCCTAATGCCCCGAAACCCGAAGGTGGTTCCATGACGTCGGCGGTGGGCGAGGCGTTATCGGTACCGTCGGGCCTGCCGCGATCGCTTGAAGCCGCCATTCAAAGGTGAGCTAATATCGATATCGATAAAGATCTATATGTACTGCGCCAAACAACACGTCACATCACGTGATGTGACATGTTATTTCCGTATAGCTTAGAGACTTTTAGCACGTTATTTGTCTTGTTGGATTCGACAAAAGACATGTAGATTTCGACTATCCATTTCTATCCAGATATGGCTCGGCGACGTACAAGGCACCAGTGGCCACCGTCCTAGACCCTAATGGCAAGCTTTGCGTAACACTCACGTACGGCAAGCTGCTCAGCCGCTCCCACAAGATTGCCTATACCCTTCTGAATAAGGCTCTAAGTCGTGGCGGGGATTGCTGTCTGAAACCCGGCGACAGGATTGCTCTGGTTTATCCGAACAACGATCCGATCAGCTTCATGTGCGCCTTTTACGGCTGCCTTCAAGCTGGCATCGTACCGGTGCCCATCGAGGTTCCTCTGACACGTCGTGACGCGGGTTCCCAACAGATTGGTTTCCTCCTGGGTAGCTGTGGCATTCAGGTACCGCGAATGCTTTATCCGTCAAACACAGCATTCCTATGTATATTTACATGTTTAATTAGCCGCACAGTATTGCGATTTGCATTGTAATTTGCATTAATTTACTAACGTGCGTGATTGCGATAGACCTTGAAGATTACTCACACGTCTCGACACATTTTCAGGTGGCACTGACCAGTGAAGCGTGTCTCAAGGGTCTACCGAAGACGGCAGCCGGCGAAGTGGTGGCCTTCAAGGGCTGGCCGAAACTGCACTGGTTCGTTACTGAGCATCTGGGTAAAACGCCTAAGGACTGGTTACCGCCACCGCGGCTTACCGACGATACGCCCGCGTATATCGAATACACCACCGACAAGGACGGCTCTGTGATGGGCGTGACGATTACCAGGGCAGCGATGATGGTTCACTGTCGCGCCCTCACGCAAGCCTGCGGTTACACCGAG